ATCTCTCGTGAGCTAAGTATCTCTTCACACCCCTAATCTGAGCCCTTATGTCCCCACCACTTTTCAAGACACAGTGATGCCCTTGGGTAGGGCTGTTGTACTCAGGTCTGTTGTACTCAGGTCTGTTCTCTCTTTGTTAAGCCTTGGACATTGGTCTCGCCAATAATAATAATAATAGTTTAAGTCTCCTTATATCTTGACCAAGACGAGCGGGGTTTTTTTTGCCTAGCCTGCCCTTTTTTGCAAGGCTCTAAACCACTTTCAGAGCCTTGGCTGAATGGCACTACCCGCTCTCTCAGACGTGCTTGTAGAATAGCTGAGAGAAAGTGGAAAAAAGACAAACTTCAAGTCTCATTTGAAATATTGCAGGATACACTATCTAAATACCAGAGAGCAGTAAAACCTGCTAAAACAAAATTTTTATCCCATGTAGTAGCAAATAACAGCCAGAGGCCTGAGGTTCTTTTCAACGTCTTTAACTCTCTTGTTAACCCTCGCGAATCAGACTGTTGTGCCATCTACAATTTTATGTTAAAACTTGCCCCCTTGACAGTATTCCTGCACGGTTTTTGAAAGATGTTTTTAACACTGTTGGATCAAGCATTGTCGCCTTGGTTAATACATCTCTCAGCTCAGGGTGTGTTCCAGCTGCTTTCAAACATGCAGTTGTGCAACCGCGTTTAAAAAAGAACAATCTGGATACTTCAAACATCTCAAATTTTAGACCTATCTCTAAGCTCCCCTTTTTGTCAAAAATCCTGAGAGAGTGGTTTTTAATCAACTTCAATCATGTTTAGATGATTTTAGTATTTATGAAAAATTCTAGTCTGGATTGAAGCCCTGTCACAGTACTGAAACTGCCCTTTTAAGAGTTTTTAATGATCTCCTTTTAGCTGTTGACTCTGGAAACTCTGCTGTTTTGGTGCTGTAGATTTGACTGCTGCCTTTGATATGGTTAATCACTCCATTCTCTTATCCCGACTCGAACAGTGTGTCGGCATTAGGGGCACAGCCTCAAATGGTTTCAATCATATCTGGCGGACAGAAGTTTCTCTGTTCACCTCGGTGAATTTTCTTCATCTGCTGCCCCTCTTTCTTGTGGGGTCCCCCAAGGGTCCATATTGGGCCCCATGCTTTTTTCACTGTACATACTGCCATTGGGGTCCATTTTCAAAAAAACACAACATCTCCTTTCATTCCTTTGCAGACAACATACAAATCTATTTACCTGTAAAATCTAATGACAAAGCTGCAACTCAGCTCAACTGCCTGAGAGATCTTAAAATATGGTTGAATCAGAACTTTCTCTGTCTGAATGAAAGTAAGACTGAGGTTGTTGTGTTCAGTCGACCTGGGGATTTAAGTGCTTGTATAGATGTTCTTGGTACTTTAGAAACATATAGTTGTCCATTTAACAAGAATCTTGGTGTGATCTTTGACAGTGCTTTTAAGTTTGAAAAACAGATTAGTTCTGTAGTAAAAGCCAGTTTCTTTCAGCTGAGACTGTTGGCCAAAGTCAAGCCCTACCTACCACGCAAAGACTTTGAAAGAGTAATACATGCATTTATAACGTCTCGTCTCGACTACTGTAACTCTTTGTATGTTGGAGTGGATCAGTCACCTCTCTATCGGTTACAGTTAGTCCAGAATGCAGCAGCGTGAGCACATTACCCCTGTTTTAGCCTCACTCCAATGGCTTCCTGTCCGCTTCAGGATTGATTTTAAGATTTTATTGCTTGTTTTTAAAATTTTAAATGGGTTGGCACCTTCTTATTTATCAGAACTTTTACAACTTTTTCATCCAATCAGATAATATATATCTATATTATTTTTTTTACTTTTTCCACTGTTGTCATGTATATATGTTGTGTGGAAAGCACTTTGGTCAACTAGTGTTGTTTTTAAATGTGCTATATAAATAAACTTGAACTTGAACTTTTCTCTTCCCTACAACAGCTAACGCAAATAAAAGGTTTCACCTATCTATATGTCAGATGCATTGTAAGGACTGTCTTAACATAGTTTTAGGTTATCTCTCGCTTTTCCCTTAAGTTGTGTGTTGGATAGGATTTCTCAGCTCTACACAGAGGTCAAATTCAGGTCTTGTTTAGAACAACAGTATCAACAATATCTCTGTCAAAAATAATTCTTAAAGGAGTAGTATGCAAAAACATTTTGTGTGCTCCAATTGCCTCTCCCCATGGTAGCATATCAACTTTCTGATAAATTTTCTTTGCTGATAATATCAAAACTCATAATTGTGAATATAAAAAATACATATTTTCATAAATCCTCTGTTCCTTTTTGTCTTGAATTGCTGTATCAGTGGCATATCCATGTTCAGTACTTTTTGGATTGTTGCTTATCAATTTTGTTTGTTTTTTGCAGTTAACACACCTTGTTAACCTTGTCACTCCTCATTGTAAACTTATACTGTAATTTTAGTGTATTGTGTTCACATTGAAAAGGGAAAAAAGTACTTAAATGTCAGGTTGCAAACTAATTTCACTCTATTTTATGAGTGTGATGTTGATTTATGTTATTGTCCGAAAATGCAATGCATGACAAAAATGGAGGAGCTGCTCATAGGTGGACAATTAAAATTACATATTGGCTGTTGGTGATACAGCTCAGATAATTCCTTAAATAACAAAAAGTAAAGTTCATCTGAATCTTCGGAAAAACATTTTGCATTTTCTTTAAGATCCAAAGGTGTACATCTTTTACTATTTACTGAGAATGGAAAAGTTAAATTTGTGTACACTAAGTGCCAGTCCTGTATGATTTTACTTGTGTTATTTCCTAATTGCCTAAGCCTCAAAAGTATAGACAATGGCTATTATTCCCCACAAACTTTGTTTTTGTGACCAGCACAGTGATATTTTGAAATTTACTTGTCCAATGAGAAAACGGGAGATTTTTTTGTCTTTTTGTTCACATAAAATCAGAAAGATATTAATCCAAATTAACTTTATACATGTATTTATACACCAGCTTTGATCTTTGCCTCAGACAGCTTAGGGAAGAAGTCTTTAAGTCTTCCAACTCCTTATCTAGAGCTCTGAGAAATATTTTTATAAGGCCCAATTTCTGGTGGCATCAGCACCTCTGGGGTCCACCAGCCTCAGAGCTGTGCTGCTCCATAATGGTAACAAGTACCTGTCTCTTCCCCTGGCTCACTCCATGCATCTCATAGAGGATTACAACAGTATCAAGACCTTACTGGATGCCTTGAAGTATGATGAGTATGGCTAGGTCATAGGAGAAATTCCTGATGGGTCATCAAGGTGATTTTACCAAGTTTTACTAAGAGCCCCCGGAAGGTGCTGATGCCACCGCTGCACATCAGATTGGACCTTATGGAACAATTTGTTTCAAGCTGTAGATAAGAAGTGTGCAGCCTTCAAGTACCTTCAAGACTTCTTCCCTAAGCTGTGTGAAGCAAAGATCAAAGCCGGTGCACAAACACGTGTATAAATACATGTTAATTTGGATTCATATATTGTTTTTTTCTGACTTTATGTGAATGAAGATACAAATTTGCCCATTTTCTCAATGAACATGATAAATAGGTCACAAAAGCAAAGTTTGTGGGGAATAATAGTAATTTTATATACTTTTGAGGCATAAGCAATTATGAATGAACTCTTACTACCTATGAAACAAAAAAAAGTTACACGGTGTTATGCAGCTTTTTGGAAATTGTTACTTCAAGAGTAATTGATAAACATGGAACCCTGGCATGTGTGCCGCAGAGGATCATGAACAATAGTAGCTTAGACAGCAAAGGACATGAAGGCCCATATACCAGTGGTACATCAGGCTAACAAAGGGAGAGACAGTGGAAAGGCCTATTCAGCCACTATGAGAAGCCCTCAGTCAGCAGTAAAACACTGAGTTAGACAAAAGGGACCCATACCTGAGAATCTCTGAAAACTGACATTAAATCAGAGCACATGGTCTTCAGGTGTGTGTAGAAGAATTTCTTTATTATCATAGGGTGAATACTTCAGACTTCTTCATAGATAGTTGTCACTCACGTTCAACAGGACATTGGTATTGTACACATTATTTTTGTAAACAGAGTCCAGGAAAGCCAGGGTGTATTTGTTCACATCCATATGTGACAAAATAGCCCAGGGTTACACTGAAGAATATTTTTTCTAAATAGTTCATCTTAGCTATACATCGAACACCATGTTATGACTGTGGACGGTTACGCTTAAAATACTTTACATTCACGTTTTGTTATAAACAATTTGATAAATACAAGATTAGATATAACAAAAGAATATATTTATATATTTTATATCTCCTTATATATTCGACATGTATGTGTTATTTTCTTTGTGGCTTTATTCCTTTCAGTAAGGGTCTGTTATGATTCAAGGTTAAAATTCAACTTCATTATAATAAATAAAACAGAGAAACAGAATAAGATAATCAAAAACATTCCTAAAGGAACATATTGGCACTTCTTTGGTAATGAAAAAGTAACATCACAAGAAATGGTTCAAATGAAAATATAACAGTTATGCATTTAACATAATAGTTATACAGTGCAGTGAAAGAGGCATTTGACAGTTGTCACTCCTCCATGTACTGTACACTAACAGCATACTGTGTGGTTGGCAATGAAATCCCAATACACACACATACATTCTCTCTCTCTCTCTCTCTCTTTGGAGGGAAAACCACAGATATCCCTCAGAAGCACTAAACAAACACCTGCAAAGTAAAACTCACACAACAATAATACAAAACAGTTTGTAACAGTTAAGCCATTTGTTTCTCACATTCAGTAAGCAGCCTTTCTTAGAGATTAAGGTCTGGTTGCAGTGTTTCCCCTAGGATTTTTTCCAGCAGAGGTACTGAAGTGCGTATATTTTATTTTGCTCCGCCGCAATATTTTTGCATGTCCACTGACACTAGAAGGGCTTTAGACACATTTGTATACAGTTATAGATGTCGAATTACGTTTAATAAAATGCTCCGTTTAGCTAATCAAATCAAAACAGAAAACCTAACCTAGTAGAAACCCTCGCCATCTAGGCATAGGCGACGTTACATTGATTAATAAACCCTGAATTTGATCCAATATTTGCTACTGACGTTTCTACCCATAACCCATGTTTAACCCATAACCCTTATAGAGATATAAGCTATACTAGCACTGGTAGATCTGTTGCACACAACACTATCATCATAACACATGTGTGTATACGTTTAAGAGGACTAATGTAAATTAATGTTTTAGAGAGCTACCGCTGTGTTTCACTGTATTAAAAAAAGGGTGTGTGGTGTGGAGGTGGGGCAAAAACAGGATATTGAGGACATGTCCCCACTAGATATTACATCATTGAGTTAGATAAATAACAGACTTTCCATAGAGACAAAGAAGGTACCCCCTTTGATAAGGAGGAGTGGCGTACCTTTTTGTTCTGCTCCATCTCTGCGTCTTCACTGAACTTCGTTGTAATAGGTAGGTGGCGCGACTGGCAGCAGAGCCTTCGTTGCCCCCAGCTGAGCGTTTGAACAACCGATAAAAGTCTCATAAATGGTGGCAATGTCTGGTAGGTGAAATACACAGGGAGATGATTGAGGCTACTGAGAGACGCTTGCTGCTTAAAGTAGAGATAGTGTTTGAGTTTATTGCATTTGATGAGACAAAACTGCGCTGCTGTGGAATGCATATAGGGGAAACACAACAGAGGGTTTTTTGAGCCTGGCCATTCGAAGCATAAGAGGTGAATGGACCCTGCTTCAGTTCTTTTAAAACTTTGTAGTGATGCATGCAGTATTCCCTTTTCTTTAACAGAATGCAATACAAAAGCATTATATCAGGCCGGTTTTGTCTTTCTTAAGGAGTTTGGCCTTAATACTTTGTTGGCCTTCAGCGTTTTGACTTGAGTATTAATAAACTGGGTCAAATCGAGTTTGGCAGCCACAAACTGTGATTGATTTGGTGGATTCCTGAGTCAACACAGTTTGTCATTTCTTCCTGTACGGACTGTAAGAAACCTGGAGTGTCTTGCTTGATAAGGCACTGACACAGATAAGCCACTCAGCCAACAGAACAGCCAAAATTAACATATAATATATAATAATAAATAATCATAGGCCTAGGAAAAGTTCAAAAATGTAAATGTTTGGGTCCCCTGTATAGGCATATGTGGGAAAATTGGATTGTTTTGGCTTTAATTGTAGTTTCTGTAAAAAGGTAATGATGTCCATGGGTAACTAACAATACATTTTACCCATAGGGTGCCTGTCCCCTGTGAGCTAAAGGTGTTGAATAGGTTTCAAAACATTAACAGGCATAACTCTGAAATCAAAGTGCTTGAAGCTACTGTTGACAACAAAGGCCTTCGGTAGTAAATGCACAGGGAGATGATTGAGGCTGCTGAGAGAGGTTGGAGCCTGTTGCTCTCCTTGTCTTTCCAACCACTGGTGGTACACAGGAACGCCAAACAGGAACGCCAAACACCAGATGTGAGGATGGACGAGGGACTTCTGAGAATTTGTCATCAGATGGCCAACCAATGCTTGAGCTGGAAAACAAAATAAAGTCTTGCACCTTTTTTTTGACTTAATGTGAAATGTATTTTATTACATTTCACTGTTACAACTGACTCAGTGATGCCTGTTTTATCTAAAAATCTAAAAATGTAATTTACAGTAGTTGTCTTTATCATGTTGTTTTTCTAAGCCATTTATTAAAAAGATTATCCAAAATTACTATCTCTGTCTTTTTTTTGCCATATTGTTAATTTTGATACTAAATATTAGCAGTACTACTGTGTTATGACTCATAGTACACATCAATTCACAGATAATGTGAATGAATGAATGTGTTCAAATCCAAATGAATTGCAGCCATTTAGCCAGTTCAGACTGGTTTTGTTCAAACAAAAATGTGTCCTTACTGTGAACTGCCGTACATTTCCCTCAGCCACCAAATGATGTTCATGTTCTGGAGTGATGCAATAGGCTATCCTCTGCAAAACATGTAATTACAAGACATCATACTCAACACTTCTCAGAAAACAAGTTTATCATCTTCAAGGCATACATAAATCACACTTCAGTATATCTCAATATATCTTCTTAAAATGTGTATTTCTTAATTCTGCTTAGATGAGCCAAGAGTCAACATACTACTTGAGATGTAAGACAAAATGCAATCAAACTAGCATCAATTGTTGGTAAAACAGTCATTATGGACTTTATCTCTGACAAAATATGCCAATCCTCAAACCTGTGAGGAATCCTTATCAAGGACTTCAAAGATGTTTTTCTGTTTATTATGAGTAGGAGACAGCCAAAACTTGATAAGCTGTGACAGGAGGTTTTGGGAACAACATGTGTCCTGAGAAGCTGAGAAGAATCTTCAACCCTGAGTACCAACGGGAAATGTTACACTGGAGTGAAGCTGACACTGGTCGATTGCTGAGGGATGAAAATAGCTCTCTGGTGCTTTGATGATTACGATCACAAACTCTCAAGGCTTTGAAGTGATTATTTTTTCTCAACGTGTTCTCACAGTGCCAGTGTCATCAAGTTGAGAGACGAAAGTTTACTTCTTAAACAGATTGATGTTTTCAAGTTTTGTTTGAAAGAACATACGGTATGCCCTTTCGTAACAGTTGCACTGTTTACCAGTGATAACATTTGGCTACTGTTATGCAAATCAATTTGCACTGCGTGTGAAATCTTATTGTATATACCAAGTACAAATTGTTCTCATGAAGTACATGTGTCATTCGACATTGGTTTTACCATATTACCTCCTTTTTAGCGATCATCCTTGAAGTAATTTAAGTCAATGTATAGCTATTTAATATCTACTAAAAAGCAGCTTACAATGACTTTTTCACCCTGTGTGACAAGCATGTTTTGATACTGACCTCTTTGAATGTTCCTGGTACACTGCAGAATTTATAAATGGCGTAGAAGGGGACAAATAGCATGGAGGACATGGCCACACCCCAGCCAACTATGTTAGCCCAGTTAGGGAAAACGTAGTCATCATACTTCAGGCCTGATGATGTCACAGTACTGGCTATTACCACAAACTGTGATAGAGAAAAGAAATAAATAAGAGTTAAATAAGAGAAACAGACACAGAAGGAGTGTTAGATATTTTTGTATTGGTCCTGTAATGTTGGTCTTTTCAATTGTATAATTGCAGAGCACATCCATGGATGCTATGAGAAAAAGGTGGGATGAAGTGGAAAATAATTGGTAGGGTGTGGTGTCATTACATTACTCATTTCCTTTGTTATTAGCACAATTGTGTATGATGAAAATTCTCACAGAGAGGACACATGTAAGTGTTACACTCCATAAAGGCAATTTTAGACAAGGATGTGTATTCTTTTAGAGAACAGAGGCTTGTAATTGGGGCAGTACGCTTTATTTGGTATACCAAATACATATCTGTAAACAATGAGAATTTATTTTTACGTGTGTTCCTTTTTTAAACAATGCGACCAATGACCAATTCTCCTGCATTGCAGCCTGTGTAACTGCAAAATCCCACTGATGTCCAGGGGAGGGTGTAGACAGCCATTTGTATTAGAGGAAACACATGGCTGTCTACACCCTCTCCTTGACAGCAGTGGTCACAGCCATATGCTTCCTCTAATGCATGTGGAGTTGCACACTACTTATTTCACCAGCCAGTGAGGAACTCGCTAAGAGGTTCAATCTATCCTCTCTGATCACACCTTCCCTCTGGGTAGTGATGTATAAACCAGAACCACTACTGCTGTTGACTGAACCTAGGCCCCTATGGTGGATGGTGAATACCATTATCCCTGTACAGGAAAACCAGCCCAAAGTAACTACTTGTATGTTTCTTATTTCTCTCACCAGCAGAAAAGCTGGGCTGACAAATTTCCAGCATAGTCTCCAGTAGAGTCCTGGCTTGAAGCCCATCATTCGCTCGATATCTTCACTGAAGCGGTCCACACCTAGAGTGAACATGAAAAGTTACACAGCAAAGGTTACTGTGGAGATTAAAGTTACAAGATCAGTCAATGTTCTTTGTGCCAAGTATGCAGTCTCACTGGACAATAGGAAGATACACAACACATGATGGCCTTCATCCTTGTAGTCCTAGTCTGACCTGGGCTGACCTTGAATTGACATAACTCATATGCTTTTTGGCTTATTTGATTTCATTGCTGTTATTAATTTTATATAGTTTTTATCTTTTGCTTTGGTTGCACAATTTGCTTGCTATGGGATCCCTCATGAATTGGGCCCTTCTATGTTTCATTAATTTTTTCCCCTACAATATTACCTTACCTTTTTCTGAGGTTTTACAGATGAAGAGAGAGACAAGGCTATAAAGTTTAGATAAGCCTGCTATGTCTTACAGTATTCAAATTTATAACTTGTGCTTTGTTTTATTTTCCTTGTGGTTGACCTTGCTCATTTGTGTATTGCATATGTGAAAGTACACAGAGATACCATGGAGAAGCTATAACAACTTGCTGATCGTTACAGAAAAGTACACCATGTAAATTATTTTCTGATTATATTTCTCTGTATTTCTCAACTTGACATGCTGTCTCCTTTTTTTCACTTCTGTCATCTGTAGATAGATATCTTGCTAATTTCAGTAATGTTGTCAATGCCATTTTAGAGTGGAATAAGACAAAGTGTTCAGAATATAAATATAGTAGGACTGGAGAATTTCATACCATAAAACCATGACACTCCAATTGCCTCGATCAACACACCAAACAGTATCGATGTCCCTGCTGCATACTTATCTAACAGCGTCAGCACGTAGATCCCACCCTACAGAGAGGGAAAAGGACAGAGAAAATTAAGTGTCAGTGGTACACTGTGGACCCTTTTGAGGTGACTTAAAGTTCACTTGCATGGCAAGAACTGACGTCTGAGCACTGACAAGCCTCACGTGGACAAAGTGGTGATCCCATGTGTATTAGAGGTTTTGCATGATACATCTTTGATTTGTATCCTCTGTGGTTCAATCTGTATATTGTGCCAGGGAACTAGCCTGGGAAAGGCATTATTCACTTTCTCAATAATTGTATTGATTTGATTTGAAAAACCATGTGAATCACCAACATAATACTTTTCTGTCTCCAAAGTCTGTTTCTGTAATCGGTAGGCATTTCCTCTGGTGCTGAAACCATGTGAATGAATAGGGACTACAGAGAAAATTAATAATTTGCTTCCTGGATACAACTTTAATGAAATTCCAATTTGTTATCAGAGTGTGATGCAATAGCTCATTCGATCATTTCTTTGATAGAGAAAACAACATAAGACTAGAATAGTTTCAGGAAACTGTTTCAGTTTCACTTCCTTATTTCATGTTTTGAAACAGGCCATTCCTACATAGGTATACCACTAAAACTAAGATACTTTACAACAGTATTTATTGTTGTGAGACAGCCAATTCTGTAGTATAGCTTGTTCTAGTACAGTATTTGGGCATGACTGAAAATAATGCAAAGTTACGTTTTTCTAAATAGTTACCAGGAGTGAAACAAAAGAGTGAAACATTACTTTGACAAGTACTTCATTTAAGTCTTTAGTGTAAATATATGGCTATTTGAAACCTAATACTGACATTAGTAATGCAGAGAAGGGCAACCAGGAAGGTTCCAAAGGCTGTGGCAAAGGTGAAGAGCTTCCTGTTTCTCTTGAGGATCTTGAAGTCATCTGTCAGGCCTGTGATGACTGCCTCCATGCCACCCATCTAGTGGACACAAACCGAGAGAAAGTGACACAAGAAATCTGTACCCACCGTGTGTCTTTCAAGTGTTCTCTAATGGACAGGGTTAATTTGCCTAGACTTTTATTTGAGGATTTCAGTCAGTTTTCAATGCATGCACACTTCAGTACTTCAGTGTTTTGTATTTTGTAGTTTAAAAATACTGTAAAATAATTCAGAGATGTCTACATGATGACATCTTCATGAGATGCCTACGTGATGACATCATAGAAATGCTGCCTCTGATTGGTTCCTACTCAGTAATTTTCATAGACAGAAAATTGATCCAGACCCGAAGAAGAAGATCAAGGTGAGAAATGTGTGGGTCCCCAACTTTCCATCTATCTTTAGCATAAATTGCTACAATTCTTAACAGTTCATGTTAAGTTTTGGTGTTCGTTTTAGTAGCCAAGGCTAAATTGTTAACCAGTTTACATAATGTTCTAGCTAATTTTCTGACCCAAGTAGCAGCTCTCACAGTTCACATTAGCTTGCTACATCCAGCATAAGTTTTCATCGGTAGTACACGACAATAATAATGATAAAGCATTTCAGAGTTGAGCAAACTGTTGGTTAAACAGTAAACTATTGGCTACTTTAAAACTAATGACAGGGATATGTGAATATTTCATCTGTTAACTGGTGGCACATGTCAGATTTATAGGATGACAAAAGCTGTTGCTTTCAAACACACCACTTAATCAGCTGAGTCAGTGTGCTGGTAAAGGGATAGATCAAATACGCTGATAGATAGAAGGTTTGAGAAGTGATTTCATAGTAAACTGAAAAAGTATTTTTAGTATTTTTGAAATACAATAATACACTTGAATATAGGGTATTTGATATCTTTAAAAAAAATATACATTTTGATGTATTTTTGTCCATCCCTTTATGTAGGCATGCAATTCATCAGTAATATTCACCACAACTTGCATGCTATTCTTGTATTTGCACTTTTATACATGTACTTCTAACAAAGTTTTGAAACATTTATTTGTCACTTTTGCATCTTCATGTATCTGTTCGTGTGTGTAGCAGAGTTAAAAATATTTGAACTTCTGGTCATAAGAATATGATACGGTTTTATAGAGTGGTCAACTTACCGAGCTGTCAATGCCCAAAGTCAGCAACATGATGAAGAACACAATAGCCCAAAATGTTGAACCAGGCAACGTAGAAATTGCTTCAGGGTAGATGATAAACACCAATCCTGCCCCTGGACATTCGCACATACACATTCACACACACACACACACACAAAAGTTAATATTTTTTATAAACAACATAGTGCTAATTTGTATGCATGACTAAATATTTTATCACAAAATTTCAAAGCAAGTGAGGAAAAAAGATATAGAAAATGCCTATGTATATAGGTATGTATATATACACAGAATTACAACAATATAAAATATTAAAACAGTGTTTGTATCTGGAAGACAAGCACTTGCCTTCTGTTGCCACATCTTCAATTTTGACCCCATGTTTATAAGCCATGTATCCAAGTACAGAAAATATGGCAAACCCTGAGAAGAAACTGGTGACACAGTTCACAGTACTGGTCAAGAGAGCATCCCTAGATAAAGAAAAGAAACACAACAACAAAAACAAGTTCAAAAGAAAGCAGGGTTTCTTCATCAGTACATTGTACATTGCTAAACTCAACTGTCCAACCTTGAAGGTCCACAATGTTCTACATCTGTGGTTTCACTTGTAGCTTGGCTAAAGATTCACTAACTTTTTTTGAACAGGGACAAACTGTCTCTTGTGTCAAAAGCAAAGTATTTCTCTGATATCATTGCTAGAAATGCACACAGCCCTAAGACCTTGTTCAGTGTAATAAACACTGCACTAAACCATGCTACTGCACTCCCTGATGCTACCTCTGAAATTACAGAGAAGTTCTTAAGGTTTTTTATTGATAAGGTTGACGTCATTAGATCTGGTATCTCACCCTCCGGTCTTGACCCATCTGAGCTAGTCCCATGCCCTGTCTCTTTAAATTATTTTGAGCCTGTGGCCTTGTCTGAATTGATCGATATAGCCTCACTCATGAAGCCTACTTTTGCTCCAACGGACACTGTCCCCTCGCGTCTTTTAAAAGAGGTTTTAGATGTTGTTGCTCCCAGCCTTTTGTCTATAATAAATAGCTCTCTTATAAATTGAATTTTTCCATCCACTTTTAAGCATACTGTGCATTCAGCCTCTTATTTCTTATTCTATTCTTATTTCTAAATTATCTTTTATGTCTAAAATTGTGGAGAAGGTCATTCTTTCTCGACTCTCCTCGTTTTTAGCTGAGTCAAGTTTCAGGATACATCACAGTACAGAAACAGCACTGCTTAAGGTACTAAATGATTTATTGCTGTTTGGTGATTCTGGAAATTGTGCTATTCATCTAACTTGACCTCAGTGTGGCTTTTGACACCGTTGATCATGACATCCTGCTGGATTGCCTCCAGCAAGGGGTTGGTATCCAGGGTGTCGCGCTACAGTGGTTTCACTCTTATTTGAAAGATAGAACTTTTTCTGTTAACATTGGTAACATTTCCTCTTCTTCAGAAGCAATTAAGTGCCTTGAGTACCTCAAGGTTCAAACCTGGGGCCAATCTTATTTTCTTTGTATATGCTCCCCTTGGGCTCCATTCCCCATAAACATATTATACCACTGTTATGCTGATGATACACAGCTGTACTTACCTCTGAAGCCAGGTGATTCAAAGTCCTTACAGTCTATTTACAACTGTCTAAATTATATTAAGCGTTGGATGGCAATCAACTTTCTCCAACTAAATGAAAACAAGACAGAAGTAATATTATTTGGTTCCCCTAACTCAATTGAGGAATTATCAAAAAATCTGGGCCCCCTGTCCATTAATGTCCAACCTTTTGCTAGGAACTTAGGGGTCATCTTTGATTCAGCATTAAAATTCGACAAACATATAAACTCTGTTGTTAAAGGTAGCTTTTTTCATTCAAGGGCCATAGCAAAACTTAAATCCATTCTCTCTGTAAAGGACCTTGAAACTGTCTTGCATGCAGAGATGGGGACTCGAGTTAGAGACTCGGACTCGAGTGTGACTTAAGTCGCACACACAGTGACTTCAGACTCGACTTGAGACTTGTCCTCAAAAGACTTCAGACTCGACTCGGACTCGAGGTGCGGGACTCGTGAACAATGTTTATTTTTTAGGAAACGTCTGATGAGCTTGCCGTTATTCCCTCCCTCCATTACCTATAATCTGCCAACGTAACACGTACTATCAGCTGCGCACGGCCACACAACACTGGCAGCTGCCGTGCCATTCATCATAAACCTTTACTTTAAAACTTCATACAAGACCCAAACAAAGATGCGCTGAACGCAAATAGGTTCCTGTGGTGAGTAAACATGTTTAGCTCAGCATTGGCCATCTAAGGTTAGTGTGCTTCTTGCTTTAGCTACGACCTACGGGAGGTTCACTCCGACTGTCGTTCGCTATGAAAAGATGAACGAGCGTGTGTTGACGTGCCAAACTTGTGGTGGTCAATTAACGTAATCATTACGTCCCGCTGGCTGCCATCATGTTAATTATTACCATGGAAAGAGGTTACAGGTTTATTGTTGATCATGTAACCTTACAGTTTTATTTAGTTATAATGTTACACTGGTTTGAGAGTGGGGTGTGTGTTAACTTACAGTAGTTTAAGCTGCAATTAACTGCATTGCACAGGTTGTGCTCTGTAAGTTAAAATCAGGTTACAGCTTTATTGTTGACCATGTAACAGTTTTATTTAGTTAACTTTACACTGGGTTTGAAAATCAACAGGGTTTGTTGACTTACAGTAGTTTATAGGCTGTCATTAGCCTAATTGTAGACACATTGTACATTAGGCTACATGGTTGTGCTCTGTAAGTTAAAAACAGGTTACAGGTTTATTGTTGATTTTGCAATGTCACAGTTTTATTTAGTTAACGTTACACTGGGTTTAAGAGTCTGGGGAGTGTTTTGACTTACAGTATTTATTAAGTCGTCAATAATTGCATTGTACGTTACATGGTTGTGCTCTGTAAATGAAAAACAGGTTACAGTTACAGAATTCCTTATAGCTATGCAGTTTTATAAGCAACCTGGATTGAATGCAGCAGGTGATACAACATTCGTAATAACCACGAGAGACTTGAGACTTGACTTGGACTCTAGCTCAAAGACTTGAGACTTGACTTGGACTCCAGCTCAAAGACTTGTGAGCATCTCTGCTTGCATGCTCTTATGTCATCTCGAATTGATTACTGCAATTCCTTGTACTTTGGTATCTGTCACTCATCTTTATCACGCTTGCAGCTTGTTGAAAATACAGCTGCTAGATTGTTAACTGGTACAAGGAAGAGGGACCATATATCCCCAATATTGGCTGCTCTTCACTGGTTACCAGTCAAATATAGAATACATTTTAAGGTGCTGTTAATTGTTTTAAAGGCATTATATGGACTGGCACCATCTTATATTTCAGAACTCTTAATGTTTCATCACTCCTCCAGACCCCTCCCACAGTTTCGTATGAAAACAAAGGGTGACCGTGCCTTTTCAGTGGTGGCCCCGAGACTGTGGAATCATTTACCCCTGATTATTAGATCATCCCCCACTATCCACACTTTTAAGTCTCGACTTAAAACATATTTTTATTCTTTGGCATTTGAGTCTGTTCAGGGGCACCTGCACTTGTGTCTTTATTTATCTTATTGCTGTATGTTGTTGATTGTTGTTTTTTGGCCTGTTTTAATTTATCTGGTTTTATTTTCTATGTCTTCTTCAGGATAACTTGTCCAGCACTTTGGTCAACTCTGGTTGTTTTTAGATGTGCTTTATAAATAAACTTGACTTGACTTGACTTGACTTGTTAAGAGAAACTAATCCAGTATCATTCTTTTGACCTGAACATGTAAAGTCAAAATAGGGCGAAGTGTTATTTGATATCTTTCAAGTTTGCCATAGGTTGATCTTCATCCAAACACTCTTTTAGGTCACTTTTTAGGTTTTTCAGGTTATGGAGAAGTTTTGTTCTCTGTTCCTTGTTGGTGGTTTGATCTGTAATTAGTCTGTGGCCACTAATGTGCGGTTGTCTGATAAACTGAACAAGGTCAACTTGACCTTGGCCTCCTCCTCGGCTGAAGGAGCAGAAAAAGCTCAATGAAGCATTATCTTCCCATTGACTTTCCCTCTTTTCTTTTCTTTTTGTATTGCATGCAGGCTGTGATAGAACCTTTTCAGTTGTTATTCAGCCGTACAGTACACTTTGCTCCACTCGATCAGGTCATTTATAACCATCTACAGCATATGACAAGCTAATACATTCATTACAAACAGAAAGACATTCATATTAGTTTTCAATACAATTTCAAGATTTTATTTTATTTTAAGTATGATCTGCTAATCATTTGCCAATTTTCAATTGTAATTTAATTTTTTTCTTTTATTTCAATGAGTCTTTTGATTGGGGGTGGCATAATTGTTATAACACAGTACTGCCCTGATTTGGCTTGGAAGCCTCTGTGATAACACTGTACATTATATGTCACCCCATTTTTAGTTAGTGATACTGCAGCATACAAAATGTGTTTTGGCTGCTGGGTGAAGTATGGTAGGTAGATGCTGTTTTGCCAACAGCATCTCCCTACAACGCCACCACTGCAACCTATTAATGTGGAAAAAAGATTAACAAAGCTCAAAACCTCATGCCTGCTTTTTCTGAAGAAGATCAGCACTATGACAAATGAGTCAACAAGCAGCCTTTGGCTATTTTCTGGCCACCCTTCCTGGCCTGTACTTTATCTGTCCTGCTAACACCTGGCCATTGGAGTCAGCTGAACAGATTAGCATCACCTCTGCTGCCTTGTGATCCAGTTACATGCTGGAAAAGGCAGACTGCTCAAACAGCAGGATGTTATGTAGCTTTGGGCTTGTTTTAGACTATCCAAAATCACAAATACAGCGCAAGCTCTTACCTGTAGCAGTTGTTGTCAAATTTGTTATAACTGGCAAATGCAATGAGCACCCCAAATCCTGCTCCTAGTGAGTAGAATATCTGGGTGGCAGCATCAATCCACACCTACGGCAAAAATAAGAGAGGAACAACAAAGCTTTTGACAGGGGCTGACAGGAATGTAAATGCTGATTTCCATTATTTAGGCAATTATTTTCATTTTCTAGTACTGTCTTCTGAACAAGCTGTGGGGCTTTCTTTGGAAAACACATGAATTTGCCTTACACATTTTATCAGATAGGAACACCTGGCTCTGGTTTGCACAAAAAAAGAAGTGAATTAAGTATATACCTGCCAAATGTAAAACAACTGAACTTTTTCTCAACCCTTACACATACATCAGCTCAGCTAGTGGAAGATCTTATCTATGCTTGAACAGAGTACATTCATTCATATACATTAAGTATGGGAGGCACCAGTGGGAAGTTAGCCCTAACCTTCAGAGCGAGAGTTACCCCACCCAGTGAATTACAGTAACAAAGATAGAAGGCTCTCTAAATCCACAATGACTCTGACGTTAATGTTACTCGTGAAGTCTAAGAGAAATGGATAGACTGGAAATTCCCACAGCTTAACAAAAAACTGGAGGTCAACAAGTAACACTTTTTTGCATTGGACTTTTTTTCACTAGAGACCCATTCAAAATCTCTCCAATTCCCATTGATGGGTTGTGACCATTATGCATTGTCTCTTGCCTCTAGATTGTTGAGCCGCTTGAAGTCGATGTGGAGGTAGGCCCTGATGCCGTCCATGGACCCTGGTAGAGTTATGCCTCGAATCAACAAAACGAAAAGGACCACATAGGGCATGGTAGCTGTGATGTACACCACCTGAATACACATACAGAACAAATAGGTAAAAGGGGGGAAAAAACCCCATCTTATAACCCCTTTTTCAACTGAACCATTTTATCAATAAACGGATACAAAATGTGTCAGTATATAACAAAAAAAGAAAGAAATGCTATTGCCCAATACTGTCTGACTCCAACGGTTGTACGGTTAAGTGGTACACAAATACAGCATGTAAAAGCAATTTCAAGGTGCGGGGTTAATTCGGTAGGTAGAGTGTGCGTCTAAAGTACAAGGCTGAGTCCTTACCGCAGCGAGCCGGGTCAAATCTGGCCTGTCACCCTTTGCTCCATGTTGCCCCCTGTCTCTCTCTCCCTCATTTCCTCACTCTATCTGCTGTCCTGTCATAAAAAGGCTTAAAAATGCCCCAAAAATATCTTTAAAAAAAAAGCACTGTCAGTACAATATGTAGTGAGTATGATAACGTAAACACTATGATTGCAATTTACAAATCATAGTGTTAGCTCCAGTTTGTTGCTTGAATGCAAGTGACTACAGTATATTATACAGCATTGAATGTAAAGAATAAATGTGAGAATAGATCTTCACAATGTTTATCACCGCCTTTTGACTGGACCTTTTTTGACCCATTACCAACAGTTTATACTGAGCTACTTGACAAGTTTTCTGCAAATTCTTGTACATATAGTATACTAGTATAAATGATTTGGATAAAAAAAGTATAATGTATAAATCAAGAAAGCAACTGTTGTTGTTGTTGTTTGGTGGTCCAGACATGTACCTTCCCAGAGGACTTGACACCTTTCCAAAGGCTGAAGTATAGGATGAAGACCACCACCACCAGACACAAGGTCAGCTCCCAGCGAGGCAGGCCCAGGTCCTGGATACCCCTACTCTCATGGAGATGTAGCACACCCCGTCTGCAGAAGGACACACACACAACGAAAAAAAGAAATACTATATCATGATAATCCGTGTATGGTTCGTTCTTTGATTATTTCGTTTCAAAACCAAATCAGAAAAAACTAAAAAACAAGTCGTTTTTTGTTTTTCTGTTTTAAAACCAAAACGGAAAATTATTGATTTTGATATTTAATGAGTCTTGGGTAGCTTTGTGTGTTACACTTGATAAACCTGCAGCAGATACACTTAGGCGATGGCGGTGCCGATTAAATTTAATTAAGATGAGCTTGAACATCAACATAAGTGGGTTTTTAGTTTGAAAAACTAACGGACGATATTATATAGCTGCAGGACCGGAGGCTGCTATTGGCTCCACGTTCAGTTTATAACTCACTAGCAACTGGAACAGGAACGCTTTCCTGAGAATCCTCCGGTTTTTAAGATGTCTTTAGTTTAAAATTAATTCAGTGATAGCTGTCAGGACATCCAATGGTACACAGCAAATACGAACTTTTATCAGTTAATTCGGCGAGCTGTATATTAAGGATTAAAAGGTTCAGGTAATTTTCGTTCTGGCTCTCTACACTGTTTCAACCTGACCTTTATTTTATGAGATAGAAGAATTTAGGCGCTGTGGAGAGCCTCCAGCTGCAGGAACACATGGATTAGGAGCTTCAGACTTCATCCAGTCAGAGGGAATGACCACTGATCGTCCAGTGCGCCAGTTCTACTGGCAATGCAACTCATAGTGGGTGCTGGAGCGTACAGGGCGTAGGTCGCGGGAGTGACCTGGTGCGCTGCTGAAGGTCGGTGATCCCTCTGGCTGGATGAAGCCTGAGGCTACTGATTTACGCATGATCCATGATGATAGGAGACAGAAAAATAGAAATTAACGGCAAAAATAGCATATTGTCGATATTTTAGAGATATGTTGATGCTGACGTACTTAATCTAGAAATTGGAGAATTATGAGTGCTTGAGTGGCTCCTCCATCTTGAGGCGAAACATGTATATTCTCATATTTCATTTTTTCGTACATGGCTATGATAGGCCTGTAGTGCTTACTTCTACAATCATATTCGCCATAGTTGATATGAGATGCGACTTGAAAAGAAATAGCCTTAGCTTATAGGATATAAAATAAAATAAATAGCTTAAATATGTAATATTGACTTTTTGTTTCACACCATAGGCCTACACGAACACCGTTCTCCTGGTTCTGGCCCTCCTTTCACCCCAACTACATTCTTACTCAGTCTTTTCTGTTAAATATCATATACCTGCCTTTACAGTCACAAACTGACGATACAGGGCTGCCCCCACTGCGTTGACCTATGATGCTATAGGGATCCCCAGTGCGTTACAAACAGTCACCGATAGGCCTTGACCATGCCATATGCGATGAGTCGGAGAGTGAGAACAGGTTGTAGGGATACAACACCGGTCAAAGATAGAACAAAACGCAGCTCCTTTGTTTTCAGTTATGGGTTTAAAACAGTCTGTTTTTTGGTTTTCTGTTTTTCCATTTTTCCGATTTGGTTTTGAAACTAAATAATGAAAGAACGAACCCTACACGGATTCATAATATCTAGAAAATATTGTTTTAATTCTGATATACTGTATACTGTCGCTCATATCAGCGAAGTGTTTTAAGTATTTCCAAGAAAAAAATGCTATCACCACTACTCGGCACATGTAATGTGTTGTAATTTTTCTATGACATTTTATTTTTGGGAGGGCTGCATCTTAACATTTAGAGACATGTTTCTTGAACAGGCCCACCCAGATTCAAATCCATCTTGGGGGAGTCTAAACAAAAAAACACACACTGTAAGTGCCTGAGGTGAAGATGACAGATAAGGTATGGGACAGAGGCTCTCTTAGGACATGCATTATAGCACTTCATATTCAAACTAGCATTTCTAACCTATACTGTCACTACAACCTGCAACCTACAACCTGCTTGAAGTGAAAAAAAATAGGTGCCAGTCCCCCCGACCCCCACCCCTGCGCACTATCCTGAACCACAAGATGAAACTAGTAGATATAACATTAACAACTTTGCGCATTAACCACTTAATTTCTTGCATTCTGAACACATTTTCTGCACCAAGTTAAGGAGGAAATGTCTTTATTTATATGATGGGAAACTAAATTAAGGTCACAGTTGACAATTCAAAATATAATGGAATAAAATTCAGATAATTCAGTAATCAGCTTTTGGACAATGCAAATTTGTATCTTCTATATTTCAATTGCATTGCATGTTTTCCTTTTGTGCATTGTTTCATTTGTTATTTAACATTTGTAGTTGCTGTTTTTCAAAATACTTTTAACAAAAGCGTTCGAAAAGTGATGGAGACATTCAGATTCCCCAGTGTAAATGACACCTATCTGTCAACACTTTTACATGTCCCGCCCCATCCAGGCTGTGATTGGTCGGTTCACGACAAGCGACACTGACGAGCTACACTGAGCACACGGCTGCTTGACAGGCACCCGAGCTTCTCTTCTCCCTCATCTCTCTCCGCTGACAGAGTTTAGCAGGCAGGCGAGAACAGGAACAGGTGAGCGTCACGTAGCGCCCAGATAACCTGACATGGAGAGGGCAGAGGAGAGGACCGGCAGCTTGGGAGAAGTCCCGGTACGCAAGAAAATGTCCCGGTACACCAAAGAGTAAAATGTCCAGGTGCCAGTACTGCGTACCGGGGCGTTCTGGCCCACTTCAAGCACTGCTGTCACTCTTATGTCATCCCAAGTTCATCATAGGCCAAAGCATTCAGTTAAATGACTTACAATATTAGAATATTAAATCACTTAGAGATTAAATTTCTTTCACCTAAAGTAAAGTATCCATCTTGGTGAAAGCTACACACAAAATGCTTTCATACAGTTAATAATGACCTCTGGCATTGTTTCGCTATTATCAGCTATTCTCCTCAACCCAAACACCTACTGTCAGATCAAGGTGAACGTTCAAAGGTTCAAGTGTTTTATCATGACATAATGAAACAAAGGGAGATAAATTGTGTCTCTTCCATCCCTATCTAATTATTGTTTCCAGCTGCAAGCTGATTCTTTGAAGTTGTACGCTTCCTTTCCACTATTCTGAGCAGTCATTCTGTTTACAATGGTGGGGTAGGGACAAAGTTAATGTGATGGATTGCAAAAAGTTGTTGTGGCCACTTTGGTCAGAAGCTGCTGTCAGTATTTGTCTCATCACCAGGTGACAGTATGGGCCCGTCAGCACTTCTGAAATGTTGTTAAGCTCATGTAAAGAGGACCATGACAGAAATGGACTTCATACATGAGAATACATTTAAAATAATTATTTGGAACTATGCTTATTTGTTTTCCTTCTGCTTAAGGTACGAGGATGTGTTTAGCTTAGCTTAGCATAAAAACAGAATACACATAACCATAGCTTTACAACTGACTAACATGTATCTTGTTTGTTCAACCCATAACTGAAATTTGGGATTTAAGGGGAGCTTGTAATAATAATAATAATGAATAAGTCATGCTTAAAGGGGGGAGGGGGGGCAAGTTTGAACGGTGGGTTTTGGGGGCCTGATTGAATGATGGCAGGGTGCTTGCCTGTTGAATGTGGTTGGGGTGAGCAACTGAAAAGGCCCTGTCATCCCAACACCTGAGACTTTTTTTGGTAAACAACAGCTGCATGCAGAAGGAGCATAGTTTCTCCAAACGGAAGTGCTTGTCAGATGGTTAAAAAAATCTCAAAACCTTTCCAAAATCTTTAATTAATCATGTCTAGCCCCTTTCTGTGATGGCCAAGCCTATTTTGACTAATTAACCCGAGACTTTGGCAAGATCATCTACAGACTTTTAATGTTACCAAAATAATTTTAATTCGTCTGTTTTTTTTCCCATAAATGTTTACTTTTAACACACAATTTTACATAAATGCTATTGTAACCAAACTTGGAGCGTCTGTGCGGATACTCGATTTGAGCTTTGCTGAGCGGTCCTGGGATAATATTCCACAAGGGGGTGCCACACATGCAAAAGGTTTATTACTCGTAATTTGTTAAATGGATTTGTAAGATCTAGGGTCACTACTCAGTGAATGCACAAAATTTGGTAATGATTGCTTATGGCTTATTACACCGAATGTAAATTTCTAGACATTTCTCATTCCAAACTTCAAAAAAATCTAAGAAAATCACCCGTACGTCCTAGAGAGCTGAATTTTTTAAGCTGAAATGTGACAAAGGTTTACCCACTGTAATCTATGGTCAATTCAGAAGTCAGTGAATCTATATTTTTCATCTCCAGAAATCTTCGTTCAAATGCTACCAAAATTCACACAGACATTCTCTGGATATCCGATATCAAGTGTTTCAAAGGATTTTCAAATCGGTCACTTGGTGAGTCAAGTCCTACTTTCCAACAATGAGGTGTTCATATCATAGTGAGTCAAAGTTTTCCTATTTTTCCTTGGTTCCCGAGACACAGCCTAAACCTTAAAACTTGGAAACACAAAATTTTGCAGGTGTGTTGAACATTTTACCCACTAGTCAGGTACATATAACGATACTCTCTGATCTCAAGGTGATGCTGTAAAAATCAGCTTTGCGTTTCTGCAATTATCTCTTGGCTTCCCAAATACTTTTATCACTTTAAGTCATCTGCATCTGGTCTTCTCCTCTGAAAATGTCAAATGTTGCATTTTTCACGACTTGCTTGGATCCCGATCATCTTTTGTTTGTTTTATTTGTTTTCAATTTGGACAGAGACAGACCAGTAGTTTTCCTGTGCCCCCAATGTTATGCTCAGCCAGCTTAAACTCATCCTGACTACAGTTTGATACTTAACGCACAGGCATGAAATTGATTGCAATCTCTTCACCTCACTCTAAGCCTAATAGCCCCATGAACCTTTACGAGTCCCAGGAACTAAACTGAAGCTAAATCAAGTAATAATTTACTTTTGCACATGTGTGCATTCACTGCATCTAAAGAATATTTTAGATTAGGCAAATTAAACCAAGCGAAGTTTTCAATTGAAAACAATGCATCCTGCACCAATGTGTAGTCAATAGAGGGCAGCATAAGCCATGATTTTATTACACATGTTCTGCCAAAACTAGAAAAAAGCCATGAACAGTGTTGATGGAAAAGACTATGGAGTCATATATAGTTATAGTTTCTACTTTATTTGGATTTCAATATCTTGCAGTAAAATAATTTAAAGCACAGTTGTTCTCTTCACATTTGTCCTAAAACTTCCCTCAAGAAAGATTCAATTAAGTCGGCATGTGATGGTATGGGTTGATAAACAGAGGAACTGGATTTGGATCTGATACTCAGGCTGCTTACACAACAGCGCAACACAAAAAAAGCCAGAAACACGCAAGCTCAAGTATGTTAAGACACACAATCCAAAGGGACAGAGGGATCTGTGAAACTCCTCTTCAACTTTTTCAGCAGTTTTATCTTTGGCTGATAATAAATTCAAAGCTATAAGGTCCTTGGGGAGGCAGATAGTAGCGTGAAGATATCAGTTTATTTGGGGAGGGAAATTTATAGTCCATGCTCTGACCCGGAGGCCTTGTGTTGGTGTTGTAATACCTCAAGGCCTCTTTGTCCATCTGACTGCCAGTAAATGCTCACTATAACATCAATGCAGATCCCTTTGGCCCAGTTACTCTAAACACATTTACTCTTATCATCACTCAGCGAGCTGGTTATGGTGCTATCCTCAGTGTTGCCATTAACTGGTCTCTGAATACTTGAGACTGGCACACTATTGCATGCAGTCTGATCTTAATGTTGGTTACAGAATAAGAAACAGGGCATGCAAAAACACATAAATAAAAAGGACTACAGACCTGAGTATCAAAACACAGCTGATGGGTTCTATCTAATTTCAACCTTATTTATTTAATTAATTACAAATGATTGTGTCATTATTTTAAAAGTAATTTTTCAACAAATATGTTAAATTGCATGTGAGATTGAAGTGAAAGCAATCTTCTCAAGTGTCTATGTAATTAGATCTTTTTGTTTAAATGAGGGCTATTTATCAAGCCTAGTTATCCTTGACATGAAATCAGATGTCGTTGCCTCAGGCTAGATTTAAAGAGAAAGGATATGGGTGCGTGCTAATGAAACAGGTTGTTGTTATCATTATTGCCATATTGTAAAAATGTCTTTTTTAGTCTGAACTTTAGTTGATATACTCAGTTTGAGTATATCAATACGCTTTGGGTCATAAAACACATTTAAACAAGTAAAACCGAAAACGAACCGACTTTTTTACTTAGAAGCAAACATTTTGTAAAAGAATCTGACATACATTATGTTTAGCTGACTGATAATGCCTGCAAGCAGGGAGACTTGCACAGAAAACCCAGTGTTTGGCCAAAGATGTAACTGTAGTGTCCATTAACACCACACTCAATAATCAAGCAGATTAAATATGCATATTACATATGTATGTCTACTTTGTGTTCACTCAATTGTTTTCAGTGTAAACAAACTACATACTTAGAGCCCAGTTACGATATATTATTGATGTGGGACTGGTAGCCTGAATTTTGACCTTAAGAGCCACGTTATGCTCAAAAAGAAGAGTTCATACGACGCGTTGTCCGACCACGCTGGAAGGCAATGAGACAGCGCGGAGACAGATTTCTTCTGTAAAGTTAATGGACACGGCGCTGTGATTTGGGAGTTTAACATCTGGGAGATTTCTTTGATCTCTTGAGACTGCACAAGTTATAAAATTAATCACAGAGAAATGTCCACATCTCTTGTTTCCAGGTCAGTCTTTTGGCAGAAGCCTTGTTTTTGGCTGTCCTCACATAGCTCCTTCCACTTGACATCTTCCAAACAAGCCCTATACACATGATTTAAAATTCACTTTCATACCCAACTATAACAATAGTACATACAGTACTTATACATAGTACAAATAGTACTATATTTAATTTTTTAGTGACACATATAGCAGCATGGTATTTACTTGCATTAGATAACTTTCAAAGGACAAAATCAGCTATGTTACTATTACTATTAATAATTATATATTCCTCTGGTTAGCTGTTTATCACATGATATTTGGTGACATGTGACCTCTTTTGAAATACTTAGCGAGTACCCTGTCTTTATAAGGTTTTGTTGATACAGTGTTGATACATTCTATCCTTCTGTATGTTAAGTATGTTTTCATTGTTTGTCATAGTCATGTTTAATAATGGTAATGTTCATTCTTTCCAAAATGTATGACATGACTACATGCATATGAAAGGTATGACTGTAATGAGGAACCCACAGAGAATTATCGCCAGACTCTGCCGTTCCCCTCAGCTCTACAGAGAATTTTAGCTCATCATTTTGGTTTTACAGCCCCCAATTTACTGTTTGGTTTACTCTCTTACATGTATCAGGCAGTTTTTTTCAGCGAAAAAGCTCTGAGAAACCTCACTGTACATTACCTGCCTAGCTCCAAATGGAAAAAAACTTAGCAACTACCTGGTGAACATAGTGATGCATTTAGCAACTAAAAATTTCTCTCAGTGAAGGGTGAAAACTAAAATGAAAGTGAATATTGTACGTTCATTCATCAGGTGGCCATAAACACTACTCCAAATAAATGCTAATGTTGCTGGATGTGTAAATAAGCAACTATTTACTACGCAATGTTGCTGTGTTATGCTCTGCAAATCAATGAAATTGCCTGTACAATATCACATAAACTTTTTGATCACACAAATTGTGGTTATGTGTGATCATGAATGACTGGTAAGTCTTCAATAATAAATCAACTAAAATATGAGCTTCATAGTAATACATTATATTGTATTAAGAACCATCAGTTAATGAGCCTAAACCCCACCACCAGCAAAGTACACCAGCTCGGGTGTAAACAAAGTCTAAAATAATGTTCCATTTTTACAATTGCTTTGTTTTACTGCCGAATTTTGCTGTAAACTCCGCTCATGATAATTGGAGACAGTAGGTTCAATAGGCTTTGAGGGTTTAGAAGAGTGTAAGAGGTGAAGCAAGAGAATTGTTGACTCAGTTGGCCTCACTCTCATGCTGTGCTTTGGCATTGCTCCTGTGCTCAAAGCTAGCTGTAAGCAGGAGGATTTATTGTCCCCTACAGAGTCTAACTCCTTGCAAGATCTGTCTTGAAGTACCCTATTGTTGTCAGTCTTCCTGTGCACATCTACTGATTTTTTTTCCCCTATGAGTGAAATGCAATAGTCCATAAGGACATATATAGTTTGCCTTATGATTTCATGGACCACATCTACTCATATGATATACTGCATCACTTTTTTGAAAGTCTGGAGCTTTCATGCGAATGCTGACCTCCTCATGTAAAGTGTTTACTTATTCATAATATATCAAGTTTGAGGATTCCTGGAAGTTGAGAGATATCCAGGGATACTGGTTAAATAAACATATTGTAGGAGACAGTGCAGCCCAGCAGAATGGGAGTGGAACTTTAACAAGCTCGACTATTTGCCACGATGCATGCTCAATATATTCTGTGCGTCACGCCTAGCATGTGTCCCTTGTACTGTCCAAGTCACTTCACAGACTTCCTCTGGGCTACACAGTCAGTCTTCACAGAAGCTGAGGAAGAACTGGCTGTCTTTGAAGTATAAACAGATGGAGCTTTTTTCATGCACTTCAAAGAGTGCATTTGAACTTTTTATGTATACACCTTTTATAGTGCAAACATTTATGGCTGAGTAATTTTGGAGTCCTCTACTCACGTTCCAGTGACTGGTCACGTGGACAGTGGTTCACTTGTTTCATGGGAATACACCAGACATCAGACAGCACTCCCAAAACAAGAAATCATCACTTCCACGTTACGCTGTTTATTGTTGGTTGGACTGCAGTCAGTATACTGACTCAGCCAAATTGTATCAGTTCTTTCAGTGTCCAAATGAAACATCCGCAAATAGACAATGAACGGTGTTGTTAAGACAGTGGCCAAAGCTTTGGTCTTTTTGCAATCTTGAAAATACTTTAATCAAAATATTTAAATAGTAGCATCTATCCATCCAGTGATTAAGATCACTCCATTTTGACATTTACCAAATACTTTGACTTTTGATTTTTAAATTATCCCAGAAGAGATTCAGTCTACATGTCTGAACAGCGTTGCCAGAGAGAGTTGCATGAGAGACAGAAAAAGAAATTACACTGTGGGTCACGCACTGCTTTTGATCCACTGTGTTTTGTTGAAAATGAAAAGTAGTGATGTACAAGATATTATTTAGCTGTTGTAGCTTGAACAAGTCAGGTAAAAAAGAAGAATGTCAGGTTACCATGAAGTGGTTATGTTTTAATTTAATGTCTCATGTAATGTAAATCATGCAATAATCTACACTGATGAATTTCATTATTAATTTCAGAAATGACTCACTCATAGTACTCTGCTGCTGGGGTGATCTTGTACTTGGCGTAAGACGTTCCATTGCCGAGGAGGGATCCGTTGATGGATTTGGGGTCGGTGCAGTTCGGACTATTCCAGCTGTTGCCACATTTGAGCCATGGCAGCTCATTGGTCATGGAGGAGAACAGGTAGTAGAGGGACCAGGCAATGATGACATTGTAGTAGAAGCCAACATACAGGGCTATGATGATCACTGTGTAGCCCACACCTGAGGAACACAGGGTTATTAGTGAGGAAGAACAATGATTTACTCTCACGCTGTGCTAATGATTATGAATAAAAAGTTTTTGTATTACATACCACCAGAGATGGGGACTCGAGTTTGAGACTCTGACTCAAGTCCGATTTAAGTCGCACACACAGTGACTTCAGATTTGACTTGAGACTCGTCCTCAAAATACTTCAGACTTGACTCGAACTCGAGGTGCGGGACTCGTAAACAATGTTTATTTTTTATTTACTTTGATTTTTTAGAAAACATCTGATGAACTTACTGTTATTCTCCTCCCTCCGTTACCTACACCTACGTAACATATAGTATCCGCTGCGCATGGCCACACGTGAGAGAGGACAACAAACGCTGGCAGCTGCTGTGCCATTCATCATAAACTTTGGCTTTAAAACTTTATACAACAAGGCACAAACAAAGAAGCGCTGAACGCAAAATAGGTTAGTAACCTGAGGTTAGTAAACATGTTTAGCTCAGCATTGGCCATCTAACATTAGCTACAATCTTCCTGAGGTTAACTCTGACTGTCATTCGCTATGAAAAGTTCAAGGAGCGTTTATTTTCTTGCTTAACTTGTGATAGTCGATTAACATAATCATTTAATTCCCTCTTCATTCATTCAAACCTTTATTTATCCAGGATAAAAAAACTCCTTGAGATTAAAAATCTCTTTTACAAGAGTGTCCTGGCAAGTGGCAGCAGTGCGGTTACAAATAGATACAGAGACACTTACAGGTAAATATATAGACACACTTTCACTCATCATATTCAAACAACAATGACATTTTTTTTAAAAATTAAAAAATAATCCTCAATCAATTTAAAAACAGTGACAGACAGACTGCCCTTTAAAAGAATAAAGTGAGACCAACTCCTTCAACTGTAGTTCATTCTGAAGCTGATTCCATGCAGATGGTGCTGCAAAATTAAAACCCTTTTTGCCAAAGTCAGTGCGGGCTTTAGGGACAGTCAATAAAAACCTGTGAGCGCAGGTGATATGTCCCTGCAGGCCTTGGGAGGATGTAAGTGTTTGGATAAGGAGGAAGAAGTCCTAATACTGCCTTATAAATAAAAAGATGCCAATGCATCCAACGCCGAATGGAGAGGGAGAACCACCCAATCCGAGAATACAGCAAACAGTGATGAGTGAGAGATTTTAAGTTTGTGATGAATCTGAAGGCTCCATGAAACACGGTGTCCAAAGCATGAAGACACTGGGAGGTTGAATGCATGTATAAAATATCACCATAGTCCAAGACAGACAAGAATGTTGCATTTACAAGTTGTTTTTTCGCTTCAAAAGATAAACAGGACTTGATTCTAAAAAAACTTCACTCTAACTTCAATTTCAGTTTTTTAACCAGATCTTGGACATGCAATGTAAAAGACAGTGATTGGTCAATGGTAATGCCCAAGTATTTATAATGTGACACTTCTTCAATTTCTGTACCAGAAAGTGTACAAATGATGGCGACATTGTTTTTAGTTGATTTTCCCAGAGTGAAAGTCATGACTTTAGTTTTTTTTAGAGTTTAGAACCAATTTTAAAGTAGCCAGATTATGTTGCAAGATGTTAAAAGCGGACTGTAAATTTGTGATTGCTTGACCTAATGTGGACCCAGAACAATAGAGAACAGTGTCATCAGCATAGTAATGATAGTTTGTATTTTTTATATTATTGCAGAGGTTGTTTGTATAAATGATAAAAAGAAGAGGCCCAAGGACTGAGCCTTGAGGCACCCCTTTTGAAATATTTAGGGAGGCAGAAGTGAGGCCGTCTACTTGCACACATTGTGTTCTCCCTGATAGGTAACTGTTGAACCATCCCACTGCTTGTTCTGATAGTCCAATAGAGGTGAGTCTTTGAAGGAGTACTTTATGGTCCACTGTGTCAAAAGCTTTTGACAAATCAATAAACAGTGCTGCACAGTGCTGTCCAAGTCCAAGGTTTTGACAACTTTTGAAACAGCTGTTATTGTACTATGTTGTTTCCTGAAACCGGATTGAAATTCATTCAGAATATTGTTATTAATTAATTAATTAGGGTTAATTAGTCTTTTAATTGCATGCTGTTGACTGATTCCATTAATTTAGCTAATACTGGAAATTTAGAAATAGGCCTATAGTTATTTATATTTGCAGGATCACCACCTTTGTGAAGGGGGAGAACATTGGCAGATTTCCAGATGGCTGGTACTTGATTCTTGGCTAAAGAAAGGTTAATTAAATATGTAACTGGATTGGCTATCAAATCTGCAGCTATTTTTAGAAAATATGGTTCCAATTTGTCTGGACCTGATGATTTTTTTGGATCTAGTTCTTTCAAGGCCTTCCTTACTTCTGGTAAGGTTACCTCTGACTGCCATCACATTAATTAATACTAGGTTACTGGTTTATTGTTGTTCATGTAAGGTTACAGGGGAAGGTTAGGGCTAGGGTTAGGCTCTGGCTCAAAGACTTGTGAGCATCTCTGCACGCCACTAGTTTAGAGAGGAATATCACTCCAGAGTAAATTCACTTAATACACACTGTCTTTTATGACGACTGGATTCTCTGCTGTTCATAGGTTTCATAATGTCAGTCGTTTCCAAATAATTTGTATCAAAACATACATGCATTCCAACATTACTGATGTGGAGCTAATAAGCAGAGTTTCAGGAGTGGGACCACACATCAACCACGTCATCACCAGCATTTCCATAAATACCCACACGTCCCAGCTCCTCTTCTTCACTCTCGCATTCTGCATCCCTCGCCACCACCCCTTTCTCTGTCCTGCCTCCTGATCTCCTTCTTCCTCTCCATAGGGTTATAAGGGGGTCCGTCGTGTTACGGCAGATTTCCCTATCGTAGCTTTCCCACAACGCTTCGAATGTCTATTCAGCAACTGCAAGCCTCGTACCTCTTCTGTTTCAATCATCAATAAATCATTTAATCGTACCTGTCGATTGTGTGGTCTTTGCTAGTGAAATGTGCAGTTACAGATTGAAAGGTCAAAGCATTGATGATATTAGTCAAACATTCATCAACAAATGCCGCATCTCTAAGAATCGTTAGCTGTTATATACCTTTTTTTATTTAAAAAAGCCTTCTTTGGTAAAGTTCTGTACGATTTTGTAAATTGCTGATGTGCACCACTTCCTCATGTTATCATCACCATGATGTACACATATCTTTCCCTCAGCGGTGTAGTGGAGGGCCCATTCATGTCATCATTTGTCAAACCTTTACAAATTTGAAATAGCGTTTATACACATGCGCTGTGCATTAATGCTTCCTTTCCATCATTTTGCACTTTTATTTGGTCAATTCTGGGATGAATTGTTCTTTCTTCACTGGAATGTGGCGTCCTGACATGAAAACAGACGCCATAAACCCATCACCCACCTCATTTTAGTTAGGAAAAAACAAAGCCTCCTCAGCTCTGAAGCCAACAAAAGCAATGACTGGTGCAGATTCAATAGTACAGACAGTATTTGAAACATTCTGTACCAAATAACAATCTGTTCAATAAGGGACTTCAAAGATAAAGTCAGGTCTTGACACTGTAGAGTTGTTTTGTATAGCTATTGCCGGTGGTTTTGGCATTAGGCCTGCATAGTTGGAAGTCAGTTTACCTTTAGAAGAGATGTGCTGAGTTTGAAAGTTATGAAATGACCCATTGTCGTATCATATTTTAATCATGATTTTGTCTAATTACTCTTAAATCTTTTGTAATTGCTGTACTCTGAAACAATGAATAGCTACCTGTGAACCAGCATCAGTCCATGTAACACAAACCACATCAGCCTTCTAAAGTCCGCCATAAGTACAATGTTGTACTCCATACTGTAAATGGGGATACTTTGCAACATATACAGTAACCTAGGATATAGGCCTACATTATGTTCCTGATAATACTCTTTTCCCTGCACCTCAGTTTAAGTAAAAACACACTATGTACTAGGAATTATGTAGTTTGCCTAATCTTTTTTATGTTATCGTATGTACCCTTCCAGTGTATCTAAGTAGTATATGGTAAATTTGAAATAAATCCGCAGATTTATAAAATGCTGCAGTACTCATTACCCCATCATCCCCCAAACGTCTAGCTTTGTTGCTCAATAATGATCATACTGAACCCTTGTCATAACAGAAAGGTGTCAGTTGCCAGATTCTTACTCCTTATTCCCTGACTTTACATCTTGTTCCCTTGTACCTACATGTATTTATCAGTACACGCTGTACTGATACACTGCATTGTACACAAAATGACATTGTAAATGACAGTGTTCATTGCGGGTCATAATCTAAAATCCTACCATGCTAAGGATAGTCAGAGCTTTTTGAAGGTTTGGTTTTACAGTAAAGGCCATTTCACTGGGAAAGAAATCACACTTGCAAAGCCCAGGTGCTAGAATTAACCAACACCAACTCAGTGTAAGCTTTAGTTTAAAGTTTACACAACATAAATCTATGTCCATCAGTGTTTTTTTATAATGTGCTCAAAGCTTTCTCTGTAATAATAATTGTATGTAACAGATCCTGTTTAATTTGAGATTTTTGGTTTTGCTTCTGAATTGAATTGACTGACGTGCAATTAAATTGACCCCAACTGTGTTCCTCGGCATGCCATGGACACTAGCTTGGATTGGTTTTGCTTCACTCATTTGAAATCGACATTTGTAAAAACATAGACAGGGGTATAAGGTTGCAAGTACAAGCAGAGAGAGATCAGAAAATACGAAGAGGTGAAACAGAGAAAGAGACGATGTGACAGAGGGGGAAAGGGCAAAAACAAAGAGATGAGATGAAAGGGCAAGACAGTGAAGAGAAGCAAAAAGAGAACATGAACGAGCTGTATGTAGCACAGGTTAGAGAAAGGCTGAAATATATGGACATGCAGGTTAACACGTGTGTGTGTGTGTGTGTGTGTGTGTGTGTGTGTGTGTGTGTTAAAGCTTACCTTTAAAAACAGGGCATATTTTCCAAACTGTAGCTGCCCCTTCCCTGTTATACTGGCCCAAGGCAAGTTCCATGTAGAACAATGGCATCCCCGCAATGACCAAGAAAAGAATGTAGGGGATCAAAAAAGCACCTGGGAAGATAAATAATTTCATTTTAGGGTATACATTTTTTATAATTTTTCTGTTAATTCCCTGCTAGTGTTGCGTTTAGTTTGTAAATAATAAAGAAATAAAGAAATAAAAAAAGAAAAGGTAAAAAAGTGGTAGTTGGGGGTTTTGACATCGTTGGAAGAATAACACAGTGCATACAAGCAGGAAGGCTCACAGCTATTTTCATGCTGTGCCTCAGTAGAACATCCACAACAAGTAAATTACCTCTCATAATTGAATTGTTCTTTACATCATAAATGACACATTACCTACAATAATGAATATGCTTTCCTCAGGGTCAATTGACAGGCCAGTGGTGGAGCTGACCCTTTGGGGCACTGAGCATGTGAAAGGACATGGAGGCAAACAGAGGACAGGGCCTTCCAGTGAGCACAAGTAAAACAACTGTTTTTAAAACAGTCCTTTGTCAATTCAACCACACAAACTGTATTTTTCCTCTCTCACTACAGTGCAGCTTTGGTGTTTAATGGATTTGAAAGCAGTGCAAGTTGGCAATCTGTTACCCTCGTATTCAGACTTACTGAGTAAACCTGAGCTCAGACAGTTGTTTTTAAATGTTCGAATAGCGTTTATACACATCTTATCTGTGCATTAATGCTTTCTTTCCATCATTTTGCACTTTTATTTGGTCAATTCTGGGATGAGTAGTTTTTTCTTCACTGGAATGTGATGTCCTGACATGAGAACATGGAATCCATGAAAGACCAAATAAACATTACAGTATATTTTTAAACTTGATAGAGCAGAGACCCATATAATCTGCAAGCGGAGGCCAAAATATTTCATGGATCAGACAAAACATTACGTGTCAGTTTTAGAGCTAAAGTGGCTTTCCACTTGTACATGCCTTTATGGAAGGAGACATGTTTTTCATCATGTAAGCTAATACCCCTTTCTCATGAAATATTAATGGATTTACAGAACTGAAATTGGCACAATATTAAAGCAATTTTAAGGTAACAATGTTAAGTAGTTTAAGACAGTTTTACCTCTTTTTCTGAAACACTGGAACAAAAAAAATTTAAAATACCATCTAAAACAACCTGTTGTTATGGTTATTTTGCATCCACACTTGCTATGTAACCACTGCTGGACACTTGTATTTCCAGTGTTTGTATTTTCAGATAAATCTTACAGGATATTTAAACTGTATATTCAACAGTTTCTAATGAATCATGAATTTGGCAGGAGATATTGTCACTTTTCATCAACTCTTGAACAGTCTCATAAGATACAGTCAGGTTGTAGACGTTTTACACAGTCTCCTTTTCCATGTGCATGCTTTGATGAAATTAGGTATTTCCTTCATCATGAAAGCTAAATGCACTTCCCCCCTTAAGACACCTGGGACTATTAAAAAGTCAATTGAAGGAGATTAAAGGAACTAAAATTAGAACAACTCCAATCTAATCTAAAGCAGCATGCTGTAGTGTTCGCGTTTGTTAGAAGGTTTAAACACATTTCTGAAACGTTTGAACATAGAAAATAGAACAGCTCTGGCACCTGACCCTCAAATAAAAGAAGATACGGGCCATTAATGAGGAAAAAATGACAATTATTTTTACTGTGGGGGTTTACTTTAACGGCTTAGTAAAGCCATACAGTTTATTATTAAGTTACTCACTACAAGGATTTGTGTTATGATAAGTTTTGTGACCTCTTCTAAATTTTGAAGCATATACGCGAGTTAAACGATCACATGGTTTACTCACCTCCTCCATTTTTGTAGCACAAGTAAGGAAATCTCCAAACATTGGCCAGGTCCACCGCGAAGCCAATGACCGACAGGAGAAAGTCTATTTTTTTGCCCCAAGTTTCCCGATCGTCCTCGGATCCGGGAGGACCTGCGCGGTGGCCAGGGGTGGGAATGATGGAGGAACTGGTGTACTGGACGCCATTCTGGTCCTTCACCAGTATCAGTTCTACGTCTTTTTTCTCCACATTGCACTGTTTCAGCGGGGCCACCGACGAGAGCTTGTGTTCTGGCAGAACCTGGATATTCATCTTCTCTGCGGTGCGTACGAAGCCCACGCTGGCCCGGTGCTCTCACGGCCCCCTGCGGGTTCTGGCGGAGCAGATGGTCTGAGTCGGTGCGCTTGGATAAGGACGGCAATCCCGCTGACAAAAACCAAAGAAGCGAGCGGTCTCCACCGAAACAACAGCTCACACCTCCGCCTACATGGGCTGGAAAGGGGGAAGAGAAACAGATAGTTTGAAAAGTTTTGTGTTAGTGCGTAAAGTTTAAGTACAGTTACGCACATTGTGGGGTTACGACTGCCAAGAAGGAATAGGTACCATTATTCTTCCCATAGCAGACATATCCAATGTCTGCGTGCTACTTTTACGAGTACAACATTAAGATAAAGCATTTTATCTGTAGTATCATGCACAGCAAGGCGTCAAGTGAAAGGTACTTCACAGCGAATTTCTCTCTGTCACCGCGCGCATTGAGCGCATTGTGCGCTAAACAGTCTAATCAATCAAACAATTACCTAAAAACATTACTCAAGGACACATAAGGACAATGAGAAAGATACATGGTTATTCGAATATGTCATCGTTACTAAAGCAATTTAAAGGTCTGCATCTGAAAGGCTTTCCTCTTGGTTCCTACTTGGTTAAACTAGGGACACCTCTCCATGACCCGATGCTGCTGTTGTCCAGATGCATCTGAGGGTAGACTGCCCATTCTGAAGGAACTATAAGACTCGCCTTCTCCAGCAGGGACGATATAAAATGCGAGCTTTTAAATCCTCTCTCTCTTCCACGTGATATTTTATAATTGAACACTTTCTCTCCAGTTTGATGTCGACTTGGCATCACCGCTTTTTGTCGGAGCTCAAGTTCCCATAAACTTGTGCATCTGCTTCTGACTTGTCAGTACAACAATCAGTCGGGAGCGGAGTGGTTTTAAGATTAATCCATGTTGAGTGGAACATAATATGACCCCTTACCTTTGCTATAAATCAAATATTCTGTTCAGAAAGCCTTGAACTTTATAAGCTACGGGCAGTTTATTTATTTGATTTCCATGTCTAGAGCAGGGTTAAAAGGCAGATCATGTCTTTGCTTTTCAGACTGGCGCTTGGATTGAACATTTCACAAGAGAGGTAAGGTCACTTTACCTTCAGCTTCATATTAGTACTTGAATTTCCCATACAACTAAACTTTTTTAATGTTTTAATTTGGACTTTATCTGTTTCTTCTCTGTTCTAAACAGATTGAATTACAGTTTTCTAAGAAGCCATAAAAGCATTGTGTTCCATGTGTAATTCGATTTTAGAGCAGCTTTTGCCAGTGGCAATGATTTCTATTAGATATGGTTGATCAGTTCATCCCATTAAAGTCAATGAATGTCCCCTTTGCTCTCCAGTGCTTGTTTTATAAAACCCTAATTGGGCTGGTTTTGAGGATTTTGTTTGTGAAGATTGAATAACTGTAGCGATGGTAAAGCAAAGGAACAGGTAACAAGGAAGGATAATGTGTTATTACTGTTGTTTTCTCCTGAATTAGTTCTATTTTTTGCACTTTGTTTTGTATTGTGAGGTATCTCCAGCCAACAATCACCAAATGTTTTGTGTCAACATCATATATACTTTTCTGTAGGTTTCTTAACATTTCATGGCAAATTTTCAAAGTAATGTACAATAGCACAGTTTGATGGAAAGTGTCCCTCAGAAGTGACTTACAGATGTAAAGCAGGTGCATATAGTAGGTGACATGTTGAGAATAGGCAACAAGTAGGAACTGACCCTGTAACCTGGACCATCATGCTGCACCCGTAGAAGTGTACAGGACTGCTCAAGGCAAAGTGATATCACCCATCACCTTTTACCTCAATTGTCCTGGATCCCTGGCTGGGTACAATTCATGAGCCCTCCGTTCTCTTTTTTTAATGTCCAGGCTCTCTCATGTTGACCTGAGGATGAGACGCTAATGAAAAAAGACACAGGCTCTCAGCAGTCACAGTATGACTCTCTGAAATTAACCTGTGTATCTGGTTCTGGTCACAGCAACGACCTCTGCATCTGTTCCTTTCCGTCTTTTTTTGCCTCCGTACTAACTTGTGTAAACGTGCACTGCTACTTCTTTGAATCACCTATATTACCTCCCACCCCAGCCACACACTATTGCAACCTTTCACCCACCTTTTCTGAGTATTTAGGTGACCACACAATTTCAGTTTGCCATTACACATCGATTTTTCATTAAAAAAATTACATTCTGACACCGATGACCTTCTTCCTTACAAACAAAAAAAATGTGCATTTCTAATATAGTAGAATTACAATATGAGGTCCATACCACATGATAATCAGGTCATGGTAATAAAGTTGAAGTGGGTTTGTTCTGTACCCAATTAAAACTCTCTGATTTAAATCTCTAAAGGCCTCATGAAAAGAGAAGCACCATTAAGCTTATCTCTCTGGGCTTTACTAAGATCTGCAAAGATTTAAGCCCCTCAGCAATTTTAATCTTTCCCTATACACCATATACATTCAATGAAGAAAGAGCAGTGTGAGTCAGATGTCCAGTCACAGAGAGCAACATTTCTGAGCAGCAGACAACATATCTGGGGAATGTGGTGCCATTGTCTTCAAAATGCTTAAACTAATAACCAGGATTTTTGAAGTCTCCTTTATCTATATCAAAGAGTTTTATCTTTCAGTAGGTCACACCCATTCAATCTCCAAGCCACTGGTTAATGAAGACCACAATAGGGGGTACACACAAGTTGAGCTTGAATGATGGGCAGTAATTAGGGGGCAGAAAAGGGGAGGCTTGACAGCAAGAGGCTGTTTGGACTGTGAGGGTGCTTAAAAAAAGAAAAACCAAAGGCTGTGATTGATTGAAGTCAAGTACCCTTCAAACTAAAGATTAGATTCAGACCACACTTACATCTCCTCTAAGAGGCATACTAACATTTCTAATTTTCTCAAATGTTACTGTTGCATATGACATATTGTTGCACAGTCATAAACCCTTTAACACATCATACTTTCTGCCACTTGTTTCCGAGAAATAAAGAGAAACATTGTTCACAGTGATTTAACGTGTTTTTTCCTTGTCCCACAGAGTGTAGAGGGATGAGTTGGGGTTTGTTTGGAGCGTATAAACACTTCAACCCCATATTTAGTCAGTCTCACTGACAAGTAAAAGAAATGTCTTTTCCACAACCTTACACTGACCCATTCTCAACTGTTACACAGGAAAAGTTGTTGCCCGTCATCCATAAAGACATCTGGACACAGAGATGTGAAACACCCAAAACATTGAGCAAGAAAACAAACCTAGGCTGCTGTTACCGCCATTGGACCACTGAGGTTTCATACAGTTCTCCAAATCTTGCCCTCACCAGGACCTTCACTGTTTCTATAAACCATCACGCAGGAAATAAGGAACAATCACCTTCCTGTGAGAATAATAGGAGAGAGAAAATCAACAAGGTGTCATCTGGTGCGATAAGGAAACGTAACAATGAGGTTTGGAGGAACTCCCTGAAGAGCTGAAGGAGACAGCTTGCCAGGCCGAAGCCTGCTGGAATAAAGGGTGGTGCAAATGTGTGTGTTGTGTGTTTGTGTGTCGCATCAAACGTGTACAAATACACACCATGGCAGCATCTATAGAACACCCATCAGAGTTAAATGAACTCTTGCTGCACTGAGCAGCTGGATAGAAGCCATATCGGCTCCGTAAGCAGGACAAAGCAGTGGGTCCTTCTTTACAAAGGTATATCATGCTGCCAAGCATAGTTGAAATTCAGAAAATACCCAGCATGTCATGCTGAAATAAAGGAAGACGTGTATAAAATGATTTAAATGGCATCTAGAATATTTCCATTGGACGATTGAGCCATGAAGAACAAGGGATCTTGGGTTGGAATATTTCACTCAGTTCTAAGCATGCTCGTACATTACCGATCAAGGTGATTGTTTCAGTCATGTGTGAGGTATAGGAGTGAATACATTTAACGGTATGTAACATTTCCTCACCGTGTGCTCACTCAATAGTCCTCGCCAGCCCGCACTTCTCCAACCTGTAGGCTAATGTTAATGCACACTGTGTTTAATGTTTAAAGCTGAACATCCATGTTCATGAAGCAGGACAAAGGAGGGGTCACAGGAGTGTATATACACACCCAGGTATCCTGTTGTTATAACCAGGAAGGTCTATTCTATAGGAACATAAAGCCAAAATAACCTCTTACTCTTCCTCTTACATAATATTCCTAAAATATCCTTGCGCTAATAAAGTTACTTTTCACATTTTATAAAAATTGTCTGTTGAACTATTGCACTGGGAATCAGCGATTGTATTGTGTTTTTGTAGGCATTCAGGTAAAACTTGCATCTTGGGCTAAGTGCATAGACTGTTTTCATTAAAATGTAAAAATTTAGACTGTATTGAGAAACTTTTCACAGTACCTACAATATTAACTCCGTATCAGTCAAACGCATCAACACAACAGGTAAAACATATGGAGTGGAACTCAACCAGCAACCTCCTCATTTTGCTTGAGAAAACCAGGCTTCACGTTAAATTGACACATCAATTTAACAGCAAGGCATGTTGCTTCTGACCTTTCCTTCCAGCCTGGCACAGAGAGTCCCCCATCCGTACAAGTCCTGTGTCCAGCTTTGGTCCACAATAAGAGGCTGCTCACTCATTCTGGTCCTGAGGAGACCAAATCGGATTACCAACACATATCTCCCACAATCTACTGCGACAGGATCACCCCCCAGGCACAGCTGAAATGGATACAGCAATATACAACAGCCATGCAGAGTAAAGAGGGAGGATGGAGGGGAGCGGGACCTAAGAGGAGAGCGGGAGCTGTGGGTATAGGGAAGGAGTCACTGTTGTAAGCGCTGCACCAATGTGACTTAATTGATTCCATGCCATCTCATCAATTTTGATTAAAATGAAATGAGCCTCTGTATGTTTGAAAAGGTTAAAACAAATTGAAGGTAGAAAACACAGTTGGTAATCAGGGGCTGTCCAACAGCGGGCTATTAATGAAGCAACCTGCTCTCCATCATTCATTTCAGTCTCCTCTGTGCATATAGAGCAAGACCGCACATTTTCTTGTGTGTTTGTACGCGTGAGCACATTCACTGAAGTTCTTTTGAGAACAGCATATACTAGGTTTATATTAGCATCATGGCCTCCGTACAGACTCTTCTGACAACAGTTAAGCAAATGGAATGAGCAGTTGTGCCAAAAAGGATTCATGGTCCGAGAACTTGAACGCAATTCTTTTATTAGGCAGATGGATAACATTGTTTGTTTTAAAAAAAACAATTTACACAAATTATATTAACAGGATAAGGACATATGATATATAGCGAGAAAAAAGTCATATGGTAAACAATCCTTTATGCCCATTTTATATTTTCTTTAATGACAGAATGGTCCATTAGCACACAGCTCACGCATCTGTTCATGATCAAGTCTTCTTCCCACCTCACAATGAAAACAGGTCAGTTTACAAAAAGGACAAATGAACAAATGCAACACAATTCTCCAATGCAGTCAAATCCAGCAAAAATAGCAATTAAGTCATGGTGACGCAAGTATATGATAGTATAATGTTTTGGTTGTCTGTGCTTTGAACAAAAAAAGTGCGAGATTTCTTGAAATGTTTACGTTCAAGATTAAATCAAAGTACAAATATAGCATGCCTTACCTTCCGTTTTAGTGCTGGAGTTCACTCATGATTAAATACATGTACATTTGCTGCTACATGAATATTTGCTTTGCACAATTAATGATTCAGTTCAAAGGCTAGGTTAAGCCAGTGAAAAACAAAACCTTAATATATCCACACAATACCTGCCTATAGTTTGGATGTCTATTGCTTTTAAAAACATTGGCCTTAAGGGTCAAGTGTTACACATGTGTACATGGACAGGCCAAAATTCAAACTAGTACTCATAAGCAGAACAAAAAAAAAAACAACACACACACAATGCAATTGTAATAGGTAACTGCTGCCACCTGGTGGTGGTTTAGAGAACCAGCGGTTCAGTTGCAGCCCCTTCATTGCACCTATGCCTCATTATAAACAAAGTCATTACAAGTGAATATAACAGCACAGACAATAGTTTTTAATTTTATTCTAGTTTTATTTTCAAAAGCAAACAGAAAAAAAAATCACATAATTGCAATGCACCCTGCCAAATAAATAACAGTGGCGCTAGTTAATCTGAATGCATACCCCGCTGGGATATGCTGTTGTGAAGAAGCACTGTTGCCTTTTTGCTCACAAATTGCCCTATTTTCAGTGGTTGATTTGCTTTAGTAAACTTAAAGCTGCGTAGACTTGCTGCTGTCTCAGCAACAACAATCTTCAGTAGAAATGCAAATAGATACACATGCAAAGCAAACCTCTGGCTAATTATACATCAGTCTTACAAGGTCTGTGTCCCTGAGCGCTGGAAAAAAGTGTATTGCACAGCATGTATGCTCTTCGTAGACATATATTTAATACAGCGCATCTGTGGGTTGCCAGATTGAAAAGATCTTAATAAAGCTTACTGTACACTAATTATACTTGCAACACAGATGCACAAGAACTCTTTGCTTATATTTAAAAAAGGTGTTGGTTTGGCAATTTTTTCACTCATTTACAGAGGACCACAAAGACAAAGGGGAAGGTACACAAAGCTACGTTCATCTAAGTCCAAGCAACATGGTGAGGCAATTTATGATGATCTGGGGAAAAATTTTCAAGTATATCATAAAACATAAACATTACAACTCTAAACATTGCTAGCTTTTCGGGGGGGGGGGGGTTTCTGGTGGACACCAAAACACACACACACATACAACTTTAGGGATGACAAAAGTCTGCAATAAGACATTTCTTGTGCAGTGGCATGGGGAAGTTGTTCCTCAAAATCTCTATAAGGCACTAAAATTGAAAATAGAAGCACTCTAAAAGCCATGTATACAAAGGCAAGCACAGGACCTATAATATGGCTCTGCTGTGGCAAATGACTTGAATTTGCTAAATGTCGGAGGGCAGATGACAGCAGTGCAGTGGATACAGTGTTATGTCTCAGTGCAGTCAAAGGAGAGTTCACGGTCATCCTTAGTCATCTTTTTTGTCAGAGGTGCTATCTTCCTGCTTTTCCCCTGAACTGGTCTGACAGGCCAATTCCAGATCACCTGGCGTCGCCTGCTGGATAGCTTGGTATCTCTGAAGCTCCAGGTATGTGGTGAAGAGCTTTGCGTACTCCGGGTGGGTCGTGGCAAAGGCTTGAAATTCACCTGAAGAATCACAGGCAGAGCAGCTTGGGATAAGGGAAGCCAACATAATAATGATAAAACATTTTCCTATTCCATAATATTCCAGTGGAAATACAAAAGAAGGATAGATGATCAAACTGTATCTTGGCATTAGACTTTTGTATTAACCCAGAGTCTACTCACTGAAGGTGATGAAACCAGAGCTGTCAGCATCAATCTCCTTGAAGAGCTTGACCATGTTTAGATCTGACACACCCAGTGCTGAGCGCAGCAGAGAAGTAAACTCCTCTCGTGTGATTCTCTCATCCTCATCTGTATCAAACAGCTGCATGAGAGAGGACAGAAACATAGAAAAATGTATTTCATTTTTGCATGTTCAAGAAGAATGATTTTAGGTGCGCAAAAAGCTCACACAACATTGTTGTTGGACAAAAATAACTTTTCAGTCACATTATATAAACACCAGAACTGTTTGTTGAGAACCACATTTGACCTTGGCCAGCAAACTGATTCCATGCTTTCTACAACAGACAAATATTGTTAACTTGACATTATCCAAGCCCTTTGAATGCAGCATCTGTTCTTCCTACAGTGGTGCTGCTACTATCTGCTGTGCTCTAAGATCAACTAAAGGCAGTGCTGGGTGATTCAGCATAAATATCCTACTTTTTTGCATTAGGCTTATTCCTGTTGTAATTTTAATATTTACTTTTTATATTCAGTATAACAAGTGCACATTATAGCTATATGCTGTAGATACAGACGGGTTTCTTGTATACAAACACTAGTGGATGCCCGCGCATGTTTAAGTAGGCTACTAACATAAATATTGCCCATCCACATCTTGTAAACAACTCTGTGTTAAATGGCAGCTTGGTTGTGAAGGGAAGACGTAAAATACGGACATGTTCTTGGTTAGACTGTGTGGTCACAGGTTGATCTGTCTCCCATTTTAAAGAGTGATGGTTGGCTGTATGCTCTAGAAGTTGTTTTATGCCACGACGACAGCGGAGTGAGAGGTGATGACAGCGTAGGTTTGTGGAATATCGATCTGACTTTGATTTATTTTCCCAAAGTGAGTTCCAATCCTGTGATAAAAATATTTTTTATTTTATTCGTTTTAAAATGCTGAATGGTTTTTCTACATGACATGTGTTTACTGACACAGCCTCCAAAGTCAAATATGTGTAATTACAACATTTATTACAGATAATGTTTGACATTCACAGGAAGAGCCCTCTTCCTGTTTTCAACATTTTCCGTAACAACAAGCTACGTTCAAAGCGTGACAAAGTGGTACGTGACAGGTTTACACACACACACACACACAACTCCAAAGACGAATCAGAAAGGTATGTTTTGACTTTTTAATGAACAACTACAGAAAGAGGCATTCGCGGGGACAGCTACGTATGCGCTTCCTGTTTTCAACAGCTGTCGTATCTACGACAACAGACGCATTCGGCTGACAGTTAACAGGGCCACTCGTTAAACTGAAACACCGGCAGCTAACGTTAACTTTACTGCCAGTGAAGCATCCACTCGGCAGGAGAGAGTGGCGTTAATCAACTTGTTGTGTTTTGTAAAAGCATGCAATACTTCTCTTATAAATAACGTTACATGTGCAGAACACTAATGTTAATGTTTGTTCAAATGTCGACACTTGATTTTTTTATTTTATTTCAGACAGTGACGTTAAGAAATGTTATGTACTGTAAAAAGCATACTAATTGATGCTGTTATGAATACGCGATCAGTTAAAATGTCGGGAGGGACCTGCTTTGTTTTGTATTATTTTTAAATGGCTTAACGTTATATCCATAGCCTACATGAGACAGCATGCTCTGGTCTGAGAGGCTGCACTGTAAAGTGGATTCATTTCTAAAACAGGTTTCCCGTCACTTTTAAGGATGGGGTGCGGTGGTTGAAAGTAACTGTAACGTAACGAGTAACGTGACTATTTACTTTTAATACCCAGTAATAAGTAAAGTAATATTATTATTTTTTAAATGAGTAATAAGTAAAAAGTAAGTCATTACAATGTCTGAGTAATTTGCCCAACACTGCTGCTAGTAATGTCGTAAACTAATGTGCCTAGTGGCGCGCGCATCTTGGTGATGGCATTGCACAGAAACCCGTCTATACACACAATGTGTCAGAGTTTGTAGTTACAGCATCTCAGAAATGTCTGCTTTACATGGTACTACAACTAAAGTTAAAAGGATAGAGCAATAACACCCAGTCCTAAAATACTGTATGTCAGCAGGAAATGTATGATGCAATTTAATGACCATGACCAATGAGAAACATTTCTGATACAGTGTTGATTACAATCTTTGAAGAATTTGTGTATTTGTATTCAGTGTACATTAAAATACAGTACTGCATATTCTTCAGGCCCTAGTAGGGGCACAGCAATGTCAGAATATTCCCTTCATACCTTGAATGCCATTCGAAGAACTTCTTCAGTGTTAGCTGGTCGACACAAAATGGTCACACCGATAACATACTCTCTGAAGTCTATGGTGCCATCTCCGTTCTGGACAGGGTCAAAGAGACAGCAATAAGACTACTTAATTTGGTCAACGCACAGATTATTAGGATGGACAGTCGTTTACCCTTCATGGTCAAAAAATATAGTCTTGTCTGACATCATGGATGTTACGAGAGTATATGTGATTTAATAAGAGACAAAAGCACAAGTGGTTTCTATAAATGACGATTCTCTATTACAGAAAAATTATGGGGCATACATTTTCTGAGGAAAGCAGGATTGAACTGGGTGTTTTTATGCTTTTAATCCTCCTCCCACTCAAACTTCTGGTAGACATACCAGGGAAGGGGTTCAAACTACTTAGATCATAGTTTCCTCTTCTGGTATAAATCCTGAACACACACCACTCTCAATTTTACTTTCATTGGAACACATGAAATGCAGTGAAGTATTTTGTGCATGGTTCTGTAAACTGAATATTAAGACTGTTGTTGTGTTTTTTTACTCTACTTAAGCTGTGTGTCAACCAAAGGAATTTTACTATTTTCCCTTCATAATTGTACTATTTAGTGGTCCAAGTTGCTCTGGTTTTACAAAAACTAAATATTTGATATACATGTCTCTCACTCTGTCAAACAGTGCAAACAGCTCCTCAAGGGCTGGGTTGACAGGTAGCTTCAGGAATGTGGAGAACTCCTTGATGGTGATCCGTCCTCCTTTACACGAGCTCGCCATGGCTGCGAAGCCCTCCAGCTCCTTCCTCACATTGTCCCATTTCAGACTGAGGGAGTAGGGCACAAGGAGCCATACGTGTCATTGTCAATGTCCCTGCCTGGTGATGCCTACAGTGTACTTAAGTGAGATGTTCTTACTTGAGTTTACGGCTAATTTTGGTGAACTCAACCAGGCCAGCCTCCATGGGCAGCGTGAGCTCGCCAGCTGAGATCATCAGGCGGCAGTCTTCATATGTGTGGTCTGTCACTGGAACTCCCAAGGCCCTGAAAGCAGACAGTTTGCATATACAGTGGTCATTGTATGACGCAACAGGCAAGGAACTGTGCTAACTATGCTACAGTCAGTCAGATTAGAGGGATGCAATAACCAAACTCATTGTACTCTGATGTAGTTCTAATGTCAGTAAAAATACAGAATTTTTGGTTAAATTTAAATTGTGGCCATCATATCCATCATATTAAATAGCATACCCTCCATCACTCACCACTTGTTTCATTTTCTCATCAACTTACATGCACATGCATTTAAAACACTTTAGAACTTTAGAACACTTACTGGGCCATAGTTTCTCGCACTCTGCTAGCAAACAGGGCTGGGCTTTTCTTCTCCTCCTCTGTGGGGATATGCGGTGGCAGGAACTGAAAAAACAGAGCAAATAGACAAAAAAGGTCACAAGGAAGGTCGAGCAGAAAGTAAACTCCTCCACATTTGCACTTGATAGCACAAAGTGGGACTGATACTACCAGTAATGCTTATATAACAAAAGAATGTTAAGTTTCCATTTCTTCACATCAAACATTCATTTTGTTTATGATGTGAAACCACTCTGTTAATGGAAACAAAAACAGTTTGTAGTATTATTATATTAGGATGCACACTTGGGGGATGCCTGTTACCTCTATCTCTACTGTGGTGTACAGCTGGCACAGAGTTAGAAGCAGCAGCGTCCTCCTGCACATAACACAAGCAGGATAGTCAGTTACATATGTACAGGGTTCCTACACCTTTTCCATTTCAAAATTCCATACTTTTCCAGACTCAGATTTTGAGAATCCTCTGTAGACTTTTCAGATCATAATCTGATGTTGGAGTACAAATAGCTAGATGTTTATTTTGTAAATAAATTGTTGAAATCCATCTATTAGAAAAGAAAGTTGGACAACGTTCCACTGTCAAACATCTGTTGCCCAAAGAGGAATTAAACATACTCTACTATTATTTCCCCCTAAACTGAATTCCAAAATCCTTTCTTTCTAAGAATTACAAATGACAGTATACACAAAACGTTTTATTACATTTTTTTAATGGAAATCTATCTGTCTATCTATTAGGATAACCATTAGCACCAGCATAAGCATTGGCTATCCTTCCTGGGGTCCATTCAACTGTGTGTTAATAATGAAATATTGACTATAACTTTTACATATTCTCCAAAACTGCACCAGGTTACAGGACCTTCTCTCTCGCAAACACATCTCAAAATAAAAAGTGCTCCAGGCTAGGCTACTGGACAGAGCATCCCACAGAATGAACTGTAGTGGGGGAAACAAGAATGATACATTTCCCTATTCAAATCTACTTCGGTAAGCGTTAATTTACCTAGACAGTACGCACAAGTAAAGTTTGTGTGGCAAACACGCAATTACAAATTGCAAGCACTGTCTTCTTCCAGGCTGACAACATGTTTAGTGTGTGTGGCAATAGTTGGTTACTGTGCCACAGCATGCGTGTAAATTTAACATGTACAGAAGCGGATTACATTTACATTTATTCATTTAGCTGACGCTTTTATCCAAAGCGACTTACAATTGCTATATACGTCAAAGGTCGCACGCTTCTGGAGCAACTAGGGGTTAACTGTCTTGCTCAGGGACACCTCGGTGGATGTGTCGCAGTAGGAATCGAACCCCAAAAGCAGTGCGGCCTCGCCACCCCCTCGGATATCGGATATGTGACACTGAATAACCCTGGTCACTAGTCATGGCCGATCAAGCTGAAAACAAAATAGGAGCAATACTATGGAAACACAAATATTTTTCCATACTTTCTTTTCTTTTTTCCAAACTTAACTATACCTGGAAATGACTAAAATCAAATTCCATACTTTACCGTTACGGCGTAGGATCCCTGTATATACTGTATTGATTCAGTAACAGTTGTTGCAATACAAGGCAATAATGTTGCTGTTGTGTTATAATTGTGTTAACTGTCTAAGAAAAAGTAGCAGCAGGCACCGCCTTCACCAAACATGAGACGCCTACAAAACTGTAGAAAGCATACTTACGAGCTGAAACCCTGCCAAGTCCAAGACACTGTATCCTGGAGGAAAACATAGAGAGGAATGTACAAAGCTTCACAAAACATTAAGACTGCGATGTAATGGAATACACATTGTTTTGTGATATAGCTAAGATTGCAGTGTTGGCAGTTCTCTTTGTCTGACAGTTCAGCCAGTCAAATTCATAAAAACTGAAATGGCCAACAACAAGAGAGGATGTCAACTATACCGCAAAGATTTGCATATTCAGCTTACTGATAAATCCATGCATACTAATTATTAATACTGTAAGTCTATGTACGGTACCCCAACAGGATGTAGTAGAGTGTGGTGGGGCCTCTAGTAACCCCTTGATGCCTGAATTTATTTACAATTATATAAGAAGATGTATTATTTTTGTTTTCATTTGCTTTCAAGATGATTCTAAATTAAGTGGAGATTGTTAATTTGTCTATAGAACATAGAAAAGATATATATTCAGGTATGATGTGTAGGTATGATGCAATTTAGCAATAACAGGCATAAATGAAAAACCAGCGCTCGCAAAAGGTTCGAATATGCACAAACAGGCATTGGGGGAATACATACGCTATCTCGGCTACAGCCTGTAAGGAAGCAGTGTGATGCGAATTAGCGATAGTCGGGGTTAAGGGGTTCTCAAGACGTGAGGTGACGTATATTGATGCTGCATTACAATCACAATATCTCACCAGTTTGTTGGGATATCTCATAAGCACAGGCTGCACAGGTACCCCTGGGATAAAGGCACCTAGAGTTGGGGAACACACATCATCATGGAGACATTCTCCCACCTCACTCACAACCACTTTTGTCGGCATCAGCTGACAACAAGTCAATGCACAGACCACATGACATAATAAATGACTGAATGGAGCAGTGTAGTATCAAGTGTTATTTCTGCTATGTAGCCTTTCCGCTCAGTGGATTATAGATTATAGATTTGAGTTAAGTGAAAATGCTAGATGCACAGATGGAACTGTCAGTAAATACACTCACTGGCCACTTTATTAGGTACACCTTGCTAGTACTGGATTGAACTACCTTTCGCCTTCAGAACTGCCCTAATTCTTCGTGGCATACTTTCAACAAAGTATTGGAAACATTCCTCAGAGACTTTGATCCATATTGACATGATAGCATCACGAAGTTGCTACAGATTTATTGGCTGCACATCCATTATGCGAATCTCCCATTCAACTATATCCCAAAGTTGCTCTGCTGGATTGAGACCTGGTGACTGTGGAGGCCAATGGAGTACAGTGAACTCATTGTCATATTCTAGAAACCAGTTTGAGATAATTTTGCTTTGTGACATGGGGCATTATCCTGCTGGAAGTAGCCATCAGAAGATGGGGACACTGTGGTCATAATGGGATGGTCATGGTCAGCAACAATACTCAGGTAGGCTGTCGCGTTTAAATGATCCTCATTGGGGCCCAAAGTGTGCCAAGAAAATATCCCCCACACCATTACACCACCACACCACCCCACCAGCAGCCTGAACCATTGATACGAGACAAGATGGATCTATGCTTCCATGTTGCTTATGCCAAATTCTGACCCAATCCTTTCGTTTCCTGTTCTTAGCTGGCCGGAGTGGCACACTGTGTGGTCTTCTGCTGCTGTAACCCCTCTGCTTCAAGGTTGGACGTGTTGTGTGTTCAAAGATAGTATTCTGCACACCTTGGTTGTAATGAGTGGTTATTTGAGTTACTGTTGCCTTTCTGTCATCTCAAACCAGTCTGCCCATTCTCCTCTGACCTCATCATCAAGAAGGCATTTTTGTCCACACAAAAACTGCTGCTCACTGGATATTTTCTCTTTTTGGGACTATTCTCTGTAAACAACCATGCCATGTTCAAAGTCACTTAAATCCCCTTTCTTCCCCATTCTGATGCTCAGTTTGAAACTTCAGCAAGTTGTCTTGAACACGTCTACATGCCTAAAGGCACTGAGTTGCTGCCATGTGATTGGCTGATTAGCTATTTGTGTTAACAAGCAATTGAACAGGCATACCTAATAAAGTGGCCGGTGAGTGTAGTTGCTTGATGTTTTGAAATTTTCTTCTGTCTGTTAAAATGTTTCTTGTATTTAACACTTTTTACATTTACATTACATTAAATTCACGTATTATATCTTACCTTGTTTGAAAGTGATAAGACATGAACGATTTGTACATGTTCCCTCTGGAAATATCAGAACCTGAGGAACAAAGCATCATTACTAAATGTTAAGATCCTATTCTGTATAAGTCTGTAATGTTATGTTACTACTACTTACAACGGGCAAAGTATGCTTGTGAAATAATTATACTTGTATTAGAGCTTTGGCTAATTCTCTTATAGATTAAAAAGGAAATGTATATATACAGCGTTTCCTCTGAAACTGACAAAGGAAACTAAAACAAAACCAACATCCGGCTTGTGATTTTTCTGAGGTGACCAGCTCAGCACAAGTGTTCTCCGCAGCTATAGTCCATGCTAATACCAGATTTATATTAGGTCCATTTTTGCTTTGGGGGAGGGTGGGGGTTGTGTTGTGACAGACCTGTGGCCAGTGGCCTCCTGACTTTGCTCTGCTGTCAATCTCTTGGATTGTATTCTTCCTGGAGTCTGGGTCCTTTCTTGACACAAGCACTGGCTGAAGGCAACGCACAAATCCTGCAGAGAGGGCAAGGCACACACTTCAATGCACACACTAATTGCTTTTTGTCATATTCTTCACTGATTATTTCATGTTCAGGTCTCATTTCATTGCATTGTTTTAATAACATTAAATAGGGCTGAGCTACTTCATTAAATGGTCACCTGCTGATAATATCACTATCACTATACACACACACCCACACACACACACACACACCCACACACACAGGAGGTTGAGAACACCACCACAAACAGATAAGCCCCTACTTCCTTTTACTGGCACAGCAAAACAAATGAAAAGTGTCTTACTGCCAAAAATGGGTGTAGCCAGGTTCTCAACACGGGAGACGGTGGAGGGCAAGCCTGCAACAATGCACACAATCCCATCAAAAAAGGTGGAGTGGGGGGCCACAGCTAGGATGGGGGCCTCACTGCTGCTGACCTGCTTGCCCTTGACCACCACTCTGAAGCCCATGCAGAAGTAATAGGCCCTCCCCAAGGCAGCCATCACGCACCGACACATGAACCTGGAGATGACCAGAAAGTTTCAGATTATTGAATTTATAAAGGAGATTTTGCTAAAAGCATAAATGAATTTAGATATATATTTCTCAGCATGTTTTGTTACACTGTCTTTATTACTGATAATAACGTCCAGGGCTATTATGGGGTGCATAATATCAGTATGTTTTTTAACAAATGAAGTAATGGAGTTGTTTCAGTAACAGGAAGAGTTGCGTCATTTTGTACACAAGAATGTTCCTGTTAGCTGTGGAAATGTGCCTTGTGCATGTAGCAGCTAGTATCTGTGTAACTGAACAGTTTAAAACGCTTTGGTACTTAAGAGGTAATACTAAAATCATTTGACATTTATTTACATCTTGTATTCATACTGTGCACATTGTTGAATATTTCCAATTGGATGACCCATTTAATCAACTTACATAATAAAAATATGCATTAGAAGATGAAGTTTTGTTTTCTGTTTATAAAGAGAAAACTCCCTTTTTCAGTTCCTTTCAGTAAGCCGTGCTAATACCACATGACTTTCTGAGAACTGAGCTTAATGCCTGTGGTGCATGTGGAATCTAGGAAGCATTATTCGGCAGTAGTACAGGCAGCTGCACATTCTTCAAGTCATGTCAAGAACTTATTTTGAGAAAGTGCTGCCTTCGCTGTATTTTACCGTGCAGTTGGCCAGGTTCCCGACACAGGTGACGGTGGAAACACACCGCCTTTACTGCTTCTTGCTTTAGTAAAATTCACTATTTCAGAACAGTCCAACTCAACATATTTTTGTTAAATATCAACATTCTCCACCAATAGCTAAAATTACATGCCATGGATGGGAGGGCTGACCTGAGAAAAAGATCAGTGTTAGGAGCCAACTACATCTTTGTAGGTTAGTATAGGTAAGTTTAATATGGTGCCAGAATGATGGTCACAATGTTCAGCTATGCGGTTGCTTTAACACCGTCCTGGTAGAAGTAAAGTAGCCTAGCAGTAGAAGTGGAAGTAAAAAATGACATACAATCTGAGTAACCATACAAGCATTAGCTCAAGCTCAATTTACTTGAGAAAACATATATAATTTTCTGTATGTTAATAAAACTGATGTCAATAAGGAAATTGTTAGAGTTTTAAGTGACTGAAGTGATTGTGTGTCAGATATCTGAAAGGCCATGGCTTTTGATGCCAGTCTGATGTGATCTGGAGTGCAGTGCAGTGGGATGTTTGTGTTGTAGGCCTATTACCGTCTCCAGCCGGTCATTGGTTCCACAGCTCCTTTCAGAGGATGCTTGAAGGTTATTATGACAGCCACTGGCCATGTCACCATGAGAACCAGGGACAGAAGGATGGCGCGAACGGGGACCAGGAAGATTCCCAGCAGGACACACTGCATAGAGAAAGGGGTACACACACACACACACACACACATCATTTACAGTCCTTCCACCATGCAGGAACACTACTGTCAGAGGTAACCCTGGTTGTTGACATTCCTCAGAGCAGAAATGTGCACGAGTCTGGAAATCCATGCCATCACTGGGCAGCTTTCTAGAAAGCACACAACTGCTCTCATTGTTTGTGCTGCACATAACGGGGCTTTACAAGCCGATTGTCAAATCCCCTTTGGAGAAGATTACAGGCCCTGGTTTCACATAAGTGTGTGTGTCTGTGTGTGTGTGTAGGCTATAATCTCACACGTCGGATGAAACACAGTGTGAGCCGTGTTGCCAAAAACGATGACTAAATATTCTTCAACAGCTTGCCTTCAGCGACACTGACCATTTAAGTCATAACCGCCATACTCACTTTTATTATAGCCGCTTTGGTTAGTTTGGTGTCTTGAACAAACGGGTTGATAACCGCAGGCAGGAGCAGAGACTGTTGCCTCGGCAGGGCGAATACTCGCTGTGGCGGCATCGCAGTCCGGTGAACGAGGAACACGGGCAAATGTTTTAGTCGAGGCTCCGTTATGTTATCATCTCACTTCCTCAACTGGGACCCTGCGCGCTAATTTCCCCCCTTATCACACGATCATGCGGGCTACCGCAGACACAAGCAAGCGACAGCGGATCCGGGACTAGCGTTTTTTCAAGCTCCACCTCCTACGTGGTAGCAGCGGTGCTCGTTGATGATCGGTGTTATTTTTCAAGCCTACATGCGGTTTTTCATCAGTTTCCCCAAATCTGTGAGCCATCATTATACTTGGTGCCACCCTTCCATTTGTATTTCTAATGTAAGAAATCGGATGAAATGTAAAAATAAAAAAATAAAAAATAAAAATGGTGATGCCAGTGCTTTGTGAAAATACTACTGGGGTTTTATAAATTTGTGCTGAACGTAAATCCAAAGATCCCAGATTTAATGCACAAGTAGGGAATAAACCTAGATTTCAAGGGGTTAATGTGACATAGTTGTTTACACGCTCTCATAAATGTCCACAAGATGGCGGAGTTTCATTAAATAAATATTTGGTCCAGCCCTAAAAAGAAAGCCCTGTCTCTCCTTTTAAGAAGTCGTGGAATGTATTCATTTAAGTACTTGAAAAGACTTGAGGTACTTGTACTTTACTTTCATTTTATGCTACTTCATACTTGTACCTCACTACATTTTTCGGGGAAATATTGTAGGCTACTTTTTACTCAACTATCTAGCCTGCTTTACAGAGCAGGGCTACTACTTTAGAATTAGATTTTCCATTAAAAAAACAAACAAACAAACATGGAATACAGTGCAGTGTTATCACAACCCAGCAATATAAGCTACAACAAAATGACATAGCGTCACTTCATATTTCATAATCAAATAATAGCCTATATAAGAATATAACACTAACAAGGGCTATGCAAGCTGCATTAGAAGTGGGCTATAAATACTTACTGATACTGCATTGTGCTGATAATTATTTTACTTTTACTTGAGTAGTATTTTGAATGCATTTCCTTGAATATTTTTACATTGTGGAATTGCTGCTTCTACCATACTCAAGTGAACTGAAAACCTCTTCCCTCACTGTTATTTGGTTGCTGAATTCACAAGCTTGATGGTGAATGCCCATAATTGTGTCTATAACCCACTTCAGTGCTTTTTCAAGTATTTATCACTGATCCACATTATATTGACCATCTTTATTGATGACAGTAACAAAGTGCACAAGCATTAAAAACAACATACACACTCACTGTATTGTTAAAACCAAAGAGAGAAAAAAAGAGTATAAAAAAGATTATTAAACAATACTACTGCGGTACTTTTGTCATGATTCCATCATGCAGTAAACCAATACAGCCTCTAGAGGCAACCTGTGCCTTTAATCTTTCTGTACCATTAGTGAAGGGAAATGCAACATGGAGTCGCCATGAAAATCATTTGGTCTCCATGTTGAGCAGTTCCCTTGGATAGTCCTATACAAAGTGCTAACCATTTGAATAATAATGTGTGCCTGCAAATACTAATTTCTGACATCCAGAGGATGTGTATATAATATGTATATAGGACTATACGCGAAAAGCAATCTCTAAAGCACCATTTTCGGTCAAACACATTGTGCAAATTCATTTTTTCAAATGTATTGTACAATAATGAGAATATTACTAAATTAAAAGTGATACATTTATAAAACTGCACTTAGTACACTGGACATCGAAGTTATTCAAAGCCAACAGGAAATCCTCATATGGTGTAAAACAACTTTTCAGAATTAAATTTGCATAAAACGGCAATATCTCACAGCACAGTATAGCACTGCGTTCAATGCAGTGTGGACATACCTGATGTCTGAGTTTTTTATAAAACAAACAAAAAAACTATAAAACAATAAAACGGGGTGTACATATTGTAATAAATTGGCACCAGCATAACAAATTAAATGTCAATATCACACAGTAATATAGCAAATATCCAGTTGCCTATGTTCAGCCTGTGTATAAGGTCCCGAGGTGCCTTTCTACAAAGCTGGAGGCTGGAAGGGACATGTCTCCCACAGAAGTGTGCAGAGTTGCCAGGATAAAAACTTACAACAGTGTGCACTGCGGCGACCACAAGTTGTGTGCGATACAATGGCAATGTTCTGATGAGGCCAGATGTCATTGCAGGAACTAGCCAATTGTGAGACATTTTGTAAATGCTCAACAACCGAGCCAGTCCTTTGTGATTTCACCCAACTTGACAATCTTCAAGCTGCTGTCTTCCAGTTTGAAATAGTGGTTACCTTTGAAGAAGTAGCTGTAATCTGTGAAAGACAAGCACAATGCACACTGTTTAAAATGTTTGCTGAAGTTCTACTTTCCATTTTAAATTGCTTGAGTAAAACAAGTGAAAAACTACCATGTAATAACAGTGAAATAATAAAGCTTTTAAACTGTATAAGCATAAAGACTGACAGTATAATCAGTCTTAATCGAAGTGATGAAGATTAAACCATCCAGTCTGGCACTGTTAAAGCCACTCTCTCTGAATCATGCTAATCAGGAAGCATACAGAGGGACCTCTGTAGAGGGGGACAGACTTGCTTTATATAAATATGTTTGTTCACTGTGTGGGGAAGGGGCTATGTGATGCTTACAGTAATGTGTGTATGTTAGGGGAGCAGTGATGGAAAAATCCCTGGTTGCTTGCCATAAACAAAAAATTGCATACTACCTCTAACCTCAAGGATACATGACAGATGTTTACCAGTAGTGTCATGACAAAATTCACCACCATATATTTCTTGCACTCTAGATGCAATGCCCTACTCGCCAATGAGTAAAGCATAACATAAGCCATCATCACTCACATCACATTAAAGCATGAGAGATATTAAGCAACTGCATATTAAGCAACTGCTCTCTCTCTGACTGTCTTCTCTCAACATCAGACCACAGATCACTCCCTAACTTCAGAATTACTCCCTTTGACCTGTTTAACTTCCAGTTTCTCACAGTTCAAGTTTCTCTAAACTGTTTATTTCTGGCTAAATGGCATTTTTGCTTGGTTGTTGCAATTTTATTAACAGAGGCAAAGTGCTGAGATTGCTGACGATGATGATTGGATTTGCATGCAACATAACCAAAGAAATGGCAGTTTGAAGACAGAAAACTAGCACACAGAGCACCAGCTCTAATCCAACTATAACTGAAACACAGCGACCACAACAAAATTATTTTTTTCCCTTAGGTTAGGTAAGACTCAAACAAAGTTCTAGGCTGACGATGCATTTTGCTATTTTGTCTCTATTCTTTGATATACAACCAGTGCAGTGATAATTGCTGGTTCATTGTTTTCACATTTTAATGAGGAGAGTAATTGCTTCATTGGTGTGGCATTTATTTCATTTCATAAAAAATTAGTTTATGTTTATGGTTCAGATGTGGTCAATGATTCATTTTTTAGACATGCCAACGACATAGGTCTAGAGATGGCAATGCCTGTCAGTCAGTCCACCATTTGGTCTGGACTGAAATTTCTCACCATTTCTAACTACTGCATAGATTTCCATAAAATGTTGAACATGAATGGTCACCCAGAGGTTGAACTCTTCTCGCGCCATCACGAGACTGACATTTGTGGCTTTGAGTGAAATGTGTCAACCACTATCAGATGGATTGCCATGAAATATGTTACTGATATTCAGTTCCTCCTCCGAATAACATGTATAATTTCTGCATCCTGGGACATTTATTCTAGCATCCTTAATGAGAATTAAGAATTTTTGTTTTGTCCAATACTTTGGTTTGTACTTGCAAAAGTAACTGCCACCAACCCAGCTGTAGTTTTTGTTTAGTGCTAATTAGCAAATGATAGCATGCTAACATGCTAAATTCAGATGGTGATATGAAGAATGTTAGTATTGTCATTGTGACCATGTTAGCATGTAGCTCAAAGCACCACTGTGTCTAAGTTCAGGCTCTCAGATCCTCTAGCGTGGCTGTAGTCTCTTAAGTCCTGTTATACTGTAATAACTTGAAAACAGTGCTGCTTGGAAGATACAGTTAAAAATCTGATCGAAAATTATGCTATAATGAAAATGGTTTCCAGTAATATTAAGTATGTAAAATTTGTAGCACGCTGGAAATCTTCCATTATGGTCCTTTCATTCATAAACCCATGCTGCTAGAAAGAAAGATTTTTTTTACCAATTCCATTAAGACTGAAGGCAGCATCTATGCCATCTGGGATGCCATTCCAGGAATCAGCAATAAGTTTGGGGAAGCCAGGGTCCATTTTCTTCTTATCTTCATCATATCTGTACACATAGTAAAAGTACATTTGTTTAATCCTTTAATGGGAACACACACACACTCATAAAAACAGAGTCAACACTGTGAATCCCCATGTTGTGCAAGGGCTTCCAGAGCTGTTGTGGTTTACAGTGCGACATAGGTCACTCTAAATGCTAACTAGATCCAGATGTAGCCCACTGCTGCAGGGTGTGTCTCACAAGGGTTTCAGGCTCACAAAGGGTTGCATAAGCTTTTGCTCCTCCTCACCTCCAGAATTTGTCCCCAGCAAACAAGTATGTCTTCCTGTTCTTCCTAAAGTTGAAGGCAGCATCGATTTGCTGCAGGTCAGTGGGGAGGTCAAGGCTGGAGAGTCTTTTGGGATAGCCTCTCTCCAACTCATCTGCTTTGTAGACCCACATCTCATTGCCTGGAAGGGAAGTGTAAGTAACAAAGTAGAACAATAGCTTAAATAACACTGCAGACATATGTTTTATTGATGCAAGATATTTAACAACTGTGCAACCATGGTAATATCCCATATTCCTACAAATATGTTAACCCCCAATAGCCAAACCAGCTCTGCTGTTAATCTCTTCAAAGCTGACAAATATATTATGTAAATGTCATCAGTATTCAGGAAGGTTGTCATATTAGTAAAATGCAAAGAAGGCATCATAAACCACTAATAACTATGGTGGAATATCTCAAGTGTCCCAAAAGTGCACACGGCACACAAGAGTGCTCAGCCAACATTCCTGCTTCTCCTAATGTTTCAGTACGTAGAAACGCCGGACCGTTAACTGAAAGGCATTCAAACGGTAAAAAAGTGACGACACCTCTTTATTACTCATGGAAGTGGAACTGTCTTGTTTCTCTGATCAC